ATATGTATGTTTGTTCCTTTGTGGCACACTAGAGACCAAACGCCTGGACCGATTTCGATGATTCATACATCAATCGATTCGTCTCAATCATGGGAGTGCTACTAAAGATATGATAGTAATCAAAATTCAATATGGACAAAATTAGGCGCCATAATGGGACGAAGTAAAAAAAATAAGTTGACAAAATATATCGAGTGGGGTATCACTGTCTAGATAATCGAAAATCATGTTATTAGGTTCCTAACACCATTTTTCATTTTGTATGATTGTTTAAGATCTACAACGCTTTAAAGTTGTATATTAACCACTTACGCTTTTAATTTCAATCTTACGTTTGTATGGATCTTTGTTACTCTTTCACCTAAAAAATACTGAATGGATTTTAATGAAACTTAACAGTAATATAGCTCATATATGATAATTAACATATATATAATAATTTATGTAGGTACTTATTGAGTGAATTGGCCAATATATAACAATAAGTGTCACATAAGACGGAAAAAAATCTCCCATCTGCGAGCCATTTTGGCCTGCACTGCAAAAACAATAAAAGTTACATGTATGTAATGAAGAGTGAAAATGTATCTCTTAAATAGTTCTAAAAAAGTCCGTGACACCATATATCTATTTTTAATGTGTAAGTCATTACCGCTAAAATAGTGAATCAAAACTAAAATATTATTTGATATCTATTTCCAAAATGCACATTTTGTATTAACAAATCATTTTTTATCAAAACAAATACTTTTATCGCTTTTGATATTTAAAGACGATAAACTTTGCTTTTTACACTATGTCATTTCGACAAATATTTAAAAAGTTACAACGATGACAAAGTGATAGCGCGGTGTACTTAGCGGTGGGTCGTTCTCAAATTTTCTGACGACGAAACGCAACCGTTTTTTCTTAAACGAAAACTAGTCCTCGAAACGGTTCTCGCAACTGGTTTTGGTTGCGGCCGGGTGACGCAACGAAACGACACGCGACGGTCGAACGAATGTAACGCAACGAAACTGAACTAAATGAACTTATTGGAATCCCTGTATTTATAAATCAGCTCGCGATAATATTGGTTTTGTAATAATTCTGCAAAATTCAAAGTAAATAATGTAGATTTTTATAGGTAAATCACCCCTTTCATCACCCTACGCCTATAAGTATTGCGATGTTGTAGCTAAGTACCAAGTTCCCATCTACTTCTATATGGGAATTCATTATATTCGATTTAGCTATTAGGGCACGGAAGCGCAACAAACAAATTCACTTTCGCATCTATAATATTATATTATACTTACTAGTGATCCACCCGGGCATTGTACGGGCGAAATTTATTTATCGGGATAAAATATAGCTTAGGTCTATCGGACAAAATGTATTTAAATAAAGAAAAATGTTATAATAAATAATGTAGCTACCTTATGATGAATTAATATTTGAAACCGGTTCAGTAGTTTGACAGATTATTTGTTACAAACATACAAATCTTGCTTCTTTATAATATTAGTATAGATAGTTAGGATAAGATAAGTATTTAATTGATGAAAAAGGTTTAAAAATAAAGTAAGTAATAGGTTTATTTGATTATATTTGTAAAAAATACTTAGCATTTGTGCTTAACAGTGATACGTTATTCGGTATTTTTTTAATCAAAAAAAATATATAAAATAATTGCCATGATTGCACTGCTGGGAGTACTCTTCATTCGAGTTTTACACTACCAATAAAAAAGGGTCGAACACAAAGTCTTTGACCTGTTAAATGTGAAAGCTTTAAAAGAAAACTACAAAGAGAACTATAAATTGATAATAAATGAGATTGCTATGGTGCTCTACCTAACGTTATGAAAATTTTATTATGCGCCTTTAGTTTAATCAAATATTATAAACTTTGCTTTGGTGATTGCATAATTATTTAATTTAGTGATCTAAGGCAGTTACCACCATTGTCCAAAACAACAGACGGGGATTACTGCTTTCTTCAACCTGCGACATAAACGTCATTGATTGGTATTGTATATAGGATGATTAAAAACATTTGAAGTTAACTTCTGGCATCTACATATTGGGTTTCTGTGAATTATGTAGGTATATCAAATTATGAGACTAGGGACTGACACTGAATTTGTGTATATCACAATCTTAGACGTCCGGAATTGACATGACAATGCAGCCACTGCCAATTTTAAATAGTCGACGAATAAAAGTAAATGAATTTTATATTTACTGCTAAACTATTAAAAAAAACAGAAACAAAAGATGACTTTTTAAGTAAGTGCTAGTTTACTATAAAATTTACATATATTAGAGATATTTATGTAACGACTTGATTTAACTTCATACATTTTTGCGAAAATTGAGGCCCATCTGTAGCCTTGACCCCGCTGGTAAAGTCTCTATATGTCTTAATAAATCAATCTTTTAGACCGACGCAAGGTACTTAATAATTCCCGCGATATTAATTCCCTTACTGAAGAACAAGACTACGGTATATATCGTCTTAAAATACTAACTAACTAAAAAGTGTGAAATAAAAAAGGTAAATTTAAAAAATCAAAAAACCCGACTGCTTTGTTATACTTCAAACTGAAAAGAAAAAAACAAGTCCAGTAGTCTATAATTCTGTTAATAAGGAACAAAGCTACTTTAACAGTCGGGACCCACTGTTGAAAAATATTATGTATTCTTGAATATCTAATGGGTCCCGACTGTTAAAGTAGCTTTGTTCCTTATTAACAGAATTATAGACTACTGGACTTGTTTTTTTCTTTTCAGTTTGAAGTATAACAAAGCAGTCGGGTTTTTTGATTTTTTAAATTTACCTTTTTTTCTGTATGTATTCGTATAAATTTTTTGGGATGTAATACACATTATATATTATACGTTTTTTTAAGATTTCCTAATCGAGATCAAGATCTAAAAGAGAAGTGGATTGCAGTCATTCGTGAGGGTAGAAATGAACCATTATGGCAACCAGCTTCCCGCAGCGTGGTTTGTTCGACTCATTTTCAGAGCGACGATTTGTACTACACAATACAACAAAAGGGTTACGTCGTGTAAAACAAAATGCATATCCAAAGGTATTTTTTTTACTATTATTATGGTTACTTAGATTAATTTATATTTTAATGATTCCAATAATTTATTTGCTAACTGCTTATTGTTTGTACAAGTCCCACCATCTATCATGTTGTGGTAGAACTACTTGCTTCCGTGTCCCCATTTTGCCGTATTATGCTACTAAATTAAAGTGAACTTACTTGATTTAAGTATCATTGTTCAATAAAAGTATTAGTACAATAGTAAAAATAATGTTAATTTGGTACTTAGCTAATTTTGAACTCAACCTTGACCGCAACTGTGCACACTAGAAAAATGCCTCATCTAATGTGCACACCGTTTTAAGATGCATCTACTTTTAAATGGCCTTTTTGACCCAAAATTCGCGATGTTTGTGGATTTATTTTATTATGTTCTTGTATAGGAACTAGTGATTATATTTGGTGTATTCTATAGAAAATTTCAAGTACATTTTAATAAAAGAAACTGTTTATCAACATTTGTATATGCTTTTCGTTTTATCGACATAAAGTTGAGATGACTGATTTGTAAGCGATTTCAAGTGCCTTGTTGCGAGTGCTTGAAACTATAAAATGAACAAACCTATTCCATCCGAGACTTGTAACTAAAGTAAAATAAACAATCCAACGTAATTAAACGTCAACACATAAATCAAGGCACTTGGATCTCGCATTTGTTTTTATCAACACTTGAAACACGACCCTTTTTTTCTGTTGCGTGTTATATTTTATAATTGCATTTGGTAAGTTATAATATACATTCAATTATATATAGTACATTCTATATGTACAAAAACCTGGATTTATTATTTACAAATTTTGAAAATATACCTCATTTTACCTATTTAAACGACTTTTTTTATCTTTCCTGAGTTTACCATAATGTAATTAAAATAAATTATAGACATGACGCATTGTGTACACACTGTTTTATTGAAAATTTTATGGAGAATCCAAATATACGTTTGTGAAGGGTATTTTTACAAAATAACAGAGAAATCGGTAGAACAATGCAATCGTTCCCACCCAGCGGGCGGGCGGTCCATAAAGAAGTCCGGCAATTGTAGGTGAGAACGGCGCATGACCTTTGGCTCACGAGAGGTTTAGAGAATAAGCTTACGATATTTCTTTCTAATATTTTATAACGTTATGAAATAACGTTATTACATTTTTCTAATATTGGGGTGTTTTATATGACTATGGTAACACTGGCTAATGCACTACATACATAAAAAACCGGCTTCACTTTTTGGTTCGGCAGACTCCGTCTTTACTTTTTATTTGGTCTGAGGACTGATGATGATGAATTTGATTGCTAAGCGGCATACTTTTTTAAACAATTTGGAGTAGTTACGAACATGCTCTTTAAAATCATCACTAGTGTTATAGTTTCGTTAATTATATAGTTCATAAAGTGTTCTTCTACTTTTATGAATTTCATGCGAAGCCCACTTACTGATAGTTACCGCATCATTAACACGTAGCTTTTTTGGGTACAAAAACATAATTAAATTGAGTACAGTATACCCATATAAAAAAAATCATTATATAAATCGTTTGTATTGTCTTTATATTGGGCATATGAAATTGGCATTTTGTAGGTGGGTGGATCCTAATTAGTTTCCGTTCTTAACGTAATTTTTATCAACCTATTTTTTTCCTTGAATAATGGATGTGTTTTGGCAGTTATTTGATAAACTACACATAATCAACATTTTAATAATGTTTGCACTTCCTACGCTTGTGGATTTTGTGAGATATCACAAATTTTTAATTTATTCTTGTGAACGTAATGACTATTAAAGGAACTAAATGACATCTTCATTACCATTAATGACTCTTGAGTGACGTGTAATGACTATTGGCTATATTCATAAAATAGACAATTCGCAAAGGATTGAGACACAAAAAAAAAACAAGATAAAATGCAATTGTTTATTAAGATTTCAAATAATTAAAATTTAATAATAATAACAATAAAATGCCACGTGATTATTTTCTCTTTTATATGAAAAAGAAAATCAGTCTTATTAATATTTTAAAGTAGGAACTAATCAACATTATTTTTTATATCTACCTTTTAAATTACAATATAGAATCTCAACTGTCTACAGCATTAGTGAACTGTCAAATTATTTACTAAATACGATAATTGGTGCAACGCGAGATTGTCAATGTCAATTAAAACAAAATAAAACGGTTAACCACAGCAGTTAAAGTGAAAAATAAAATAAAAAATTATTTATAAAAGTCAAATTCTTTTACGGTAAACAATAAAAAAACAGTTAAAGGAGATAAAGGGACATTCTTCGTATTTTATTATTTGGTTGACGATGGTGGCATATTTTTTAAAAATTGTTGATAATACTAATAATCAAAATAAAAAAATGTGCCATTTCTGCATATAATCTTTTTAATAGTTTAAAAATACTTATTATCAAATTATTAAAAGAAAATGTGCCACTGAAGTCAACCAAATAATAGGACACAAAGAATGACCTTATTAATCAAACAGTATTTTGGTCTGTCTCAATAGTTAGCAGCATCAGTTGCTTATTCAAAAGTTTGGTTTCTTCAATAAGATATTTGGTGGAACGAGATCTCCAACGTCAAATAAATTTTCTTTGTTATGTATAGACTCATTTGTATCAGTTTCCTTAGACGTCGACGCTATCAAATTATTAATATTGTCTTTGGCACTGACTAATAATAAATTCTGCAGCACGGTGATCTTAGGTCGTTTTTTTGGTACAGCGTCTTCAGCAACATCGTTTGTACTATCAATATTTGGTCTTATCACACTTGAGCATTTCTTCGTGCGTACAAGAGCAGCAACGAAATCCTTGGATTGTTGAAGGTTATCAGTAATTTTACCGCGATTTTTCATGAATCCACTATGAAGACCATGGCGGCATATTTCACCAGGCTCACAAGAAAAGCAGCTTAGGTTCCTGAACGTTATGTAATCCTGATCTTTCTTCCAAAGAACTTGGTGAACAGAAAGAGTTCCACGGAACGGTGTCGCATTTTTTGGTATTTTTTTCTCCTTCTCGATGATATTTTGTTCTGTTACAGGTATTATAATGATATTTTTCACTCTTGATTCCAATATCTTCACAAAATCAGTTAAATTTGCAACATCTTCTCCAAACTTTACCGCTGCATCAGCCGTTCGTTTGAGAACAGCCTCTACACCGTCCGGTGCACCCTTCCCATGACCTTTTTCTGAGTAGTTCCATATGACTGTAATCAACTGAGGAAAATCGATGTGAAGCTGAGAAATCATGTAAAAAATGAACTTGTTTCTGTATTGGGATGATGGCGAGTCAGAAAGAAAATGTAGGGTAGTAGTGAATGGGTTCTTTTCTAGTGCTAGTTGAATTAAAGGTGTCAGATGGGCCCAGATAGCAGATGCATCATGACGAACACAATCACTGACAGCGCAGACTGAAATAGGCTCCACCCTTCCGGACTGAAAATTATGAGTGTAAACAACAGCTGTATGAAGAGCTATTTGACTTCGACTCCCTCCAAAATGAAGAGCTTGAACTTCCTTAGCAAATTTTATGGCATAATTTTCCAAAAAGTCAATGTGCAGTATGGTTTCGTGAATCCTCAGCCTTTCCTTTAACTTCTTTATCTCATTAAATTGGTTCAAAATATTATTACAATGTAGAAAAAAGTAGGGCAGATCCTCATCTAACTTTTGAATGGCTCGGATTGGCGTTACGTGTGTTGCAGATTTAGCGATAATACTTATTTCCCTTTTCTTTTTGTCTATTGTTACATATTGTTTATTCTGTCGCGTCCATGAATAATATTTCAATTCTCTGTCATTTCTAAACTCTTTATAATCAAGTACTTTTTCTTTACATATGGTGCATATTCTTCTCAAACAGTCGCTATTATACACAGAACAGCAAAGAGATGCCATCATTTCAATGGAATTTTTTTCTTTTATTATATTAGCTTTGTGTAAAGCTTCCACAAGCAAATCCATGTTTAAGTGGATTGAGCACATGCATGTGTCCCTGTTGGATTCTTTTGGGAACACTACCCAAAATGGTCTGTGTCTACAAAATGTGGAGTAACTGGCATTAAGGTTTTTGTTCTCAGCTTTAAATTTCTCATATAATTGTTTTAAAGGGGCGCATAAATAACGCTTTTGTTTTCGTTTTTTACCTTTGGTAATAAATTCCTTTTTGCCAGCGCCGATTCTACTATTCACATCTTCTTCATAAAACTTGTGTATTGTCACCAAAAGCTTATTTTGAAGTAATTTTGCATTATCGCGATCAACTTTGCATTTCTTGTTTAAAATTAAACATTGCTTTCAGATTTAATTCAGTTTCAGAATTGTTGGTATCTTTTTTTTCTTTTAGCTTTTTTATGTATTGGCGTAATGCTTTATTCTGTTTTTTTAACGTTTTTATTACCTCTAACAACTTCAGTCTTTTCTTGCATTCTCTGTATTTCACTTTCTTTATAATTAATTTTTCAGGCGAAGTCACAGTCTGACCACTTGATGTACTAGGGCCTAGTGGGTCCTGTTTATTTTTGGCAGGACTTATGAGAGTCTTGTTACTGTTCATAATAACCACGTTCTGCATTTCTTGTTTCTTTTTCTCTTCTGCTAGTTTCTGTCTGTATCTTCTTGTATTCTCTCTCCACTTCTTGCGCTTTAAACGTTGTTCTCTCGGACTTAACTCATTTATGCTCAAAATCTTTTTATTTTCTTTTCTTTTCGTATAATCAGCTCTATTTTTTTGTTTTTGCTCTTCATACAATTTAGTGTCGCTTTTTATTCGAAGATATTGACGCTTTTTAGCTTGTCTTTGCTGTGCTAAAATTTCTTCCTTTTTTTATTTGGTTTTGTCATTGCGTCCTGGCAACAACGAGCAGATATTTATTATTAGTATTTAAAAATCCAACGAATATAGCAGTTACATAAAATCTACTTAATAAACTGCCTGGTTTATTAAAAACGTTACGTTACACTTATGGGTTAAAAAGATTGTTTTCGAAAATTATTTATTTAGACATATTATACAGTTTCATATGAGGAGCTCGATGGCGTAGGTGGTTAGCGCGTTCGGCTGCGATCGTTGAAGAATCTTCTATCTCGAGTTCCTCCGTGCTTCGGAAGGCACGTTATGCCGCTGGTCCCGGCTGCATACGCAGTCGTTAGCACCCGCCAATCCGCACTGGGCCCGCGTGGTGGGTCATGACCCAATCTCCCTATTCCATCCATAGGGAAGGCCTGTGCCCCAGCAGTGGGGACATTAATAGGCTGATGATGATGATACAGATTCATTTGCTGTCATTACGTTCATGACCGTGTCATTACATTCGTATGTAATATTGATGAAATATGAGCGTAATGACTACGAGCGTAATGACAGATCGTATGACTTTGAACTCTATTTCGCTATAGGTATTTACTTAGCCAAGTTGAAATGCACGTAATATATTTAGTCCTAATGACGTATCAAATACGTAGATTTAAGCTGACTTACCTCTATTCGTTATGGTATCACACACTTTATAAAAATGACGTAATTTTGTGTCAATTCACTGCGAACGAAGTTTGCATCGAAAATTAATGCGAACCAAACACGTCACACGTCCGTCTCTAGTGAAAATCGCCGACGAATGATTCAAGGCGCGGGCGGCGGGGGCAAAACGTTTCGCGACATGCTCAGAAACTGACTAATCTTGCTGGAGTTGTCATCGTGAATTGAATGACGATTTTATGGTGATAAAATTTTTAAATAATGTAATTCGTAAAATACTATTAATTTTACCGTTTTTTTTTACGGATGGCATGATATTTTAACCTATTAAATATTTAAACTATTAAAAACGTGTTCTTAACGATTATTATAATCTTACATAATTGTTTTTACAAGGTAGTTGGCTTAGGGTTGCCAACCTCAAATTTAAAAAGCCAGGATTTTAAGTTGAAAAAACCAGGTCAATTCAGTTTCAAAACAGGACATATTAATAGTGTTGCAATAGTTAAATAAATATCTAGTGAAAACAGGTGAAATGAAATTCCTTTAATTAAAATAATCACATGTAGCGTAAAATTTTGAGAAGAGGCGCGCGATTTTAAAAATTATAAACCCAGGACGCTGCTTAAAAACTATTCAGCACGTTCCAGGACACTACAAAAACTAGGGCATGTCCTGGGAAAACAGGACGGTTGGCAACCCTAACCCTAAGGCTTAAATTCAAGGCGATGAATGACATTTTGAGCCATTTTTTATTTTTTAAATTAATAATAAGTATTATTATAGTTATACTGAATGGGCTCCAGTTAGAATCCCCTCACGTGAACGGTTTTAAGCCAAAAGACAATTAAAAATAAATTAATTTCGAAAGTTATTAACGGTTAACCAGTTTTTATAAGTATTGTAGGATTCACCCAGGTACGGGAGGAATAAAAAGTCATTTTTTTTGTAAAATATATTTAATTAATCATGTTTTGCACCTTGTTATCTATGCACTTTTGCCATCTCATAGGTAGTTCATTGATCCCTTTACTAAAATACCATGGGGGCGAGAATCAATAAACCAAAACCGTATCGTGCTTTCTTTTGCGACACCAGCGCCGTACACATCATTAATCCTTCGAGCTGTTTCTGCAGCACTGGTGCCACGGTAGAACTCGTACTCGTAAATATACCGATATTTCATGTTTTCCATTGAGCCGTAATAAACGACGCCAAAGAAAAAAATCATCGTTACCATCAGCAGCCTATTATTGTCCCCACTGCTGGAGCACAGGCCTTCCCTAAGGATGGAATAGGGAGATTGGGCCATGACCCACCACGCGGGCCCAGTGTGGTTTGGTGGGTGCTAACGACTGCAGATGCCAGTACCAACGGCTTAACGGGCCTTCCAAAGCACGGAGGAGCTTAAGATAGTACATTTTTGGTCAACCATCCAATGACCGACCAATTCGAAAGTTGCTTAACTTCAACGATCACAGCCGAACGCGCTAAACACTTGGGCTATCGAGCTCCTCTCAGAAAAAAAAATGAGGAAAAAACAAATGAATTACTGATTTTTTTTAAATTCAAATGTACCCGCTAAATGGATTTATAAATTTTAATTTGGAATTCTTAACCAAAGAGGACATATTTCAAATCAAAATGGTCAGTACGAAGAATCGCTAATTTCATATGTAAGAACCTAATATTTTAGATACGTGGGAATACATTCAGAAAGTTTTGAGAAACTAAAAAAGTAACTTCTATGGAACAAATACTTTTATTAAATCTTTTCAAAGAACTTTCCACCAGCCTCTATACAAAGCTTCATGCGTCTGAACCAATTTTTAAATCATTTTTTCCAGTCCCCCACAGACACCTCTTCCACGGCCTTCTCAAACGCTGCTAGCGCTTCTTCCGGCGATGAAAACTGTATCCCTTTGAGCTGATTTTTTATTTTAGGGAATGAAAAGAAGTCACACAGAGCCAAATCAGGACTGTAAGGAGGGTGTCCCAAGACTCTGACCGGTGTGGAGTCCAGGAACTCCTTCGTTTTGATCGCAGAGTGCGCGGATGCGTTGTCGTGGTGAAGAAGGACCCCGCGGAGCCCGGTGTTAGGTCGCTTGTTGCTCATTGCAGAAAAAACTTCTGGCAGGCATTTTGTGCTATACTATTTGGCGTTGATGCTGCTTTGGTCTCGAAGTGGAATTGAAATTAGGCACCCCGTCAAAGTGAAGAAACTAGCGATCAGCCAAACTGTCGACTGACGCTTCTTTGTTTCTGGATCGTATTGATAAATCCAAGATTTTTCACCTGTCACAATATCGTAAACGCGCCGTGACGAGCCTGCATCAAATTTTTGTTTCATACCACTGCACCAATCCACACGGGCCTGCTTCTGAGCTTCGGTGAGGTTGTGCAGCACCCAGCGGGAAACTATACTCCTTATGCAAAGGTGCTTGTGCAAAATCTTGTGAACACTGCCTGAATCAATCTGCAGAGTATGCTGAATCTCTTCGTACGTCATTCGTCTGTTTTCTTTTATTAAATTTTGTACTGCCAGCACACTTTCTTCGGTGACATCCGTCGTAGGACAACCGCTCCTTTGTTATTCCCCAAAGGAAGACGACCGCGTTTGACCTCGCTACACCAGCGGTAGATGGTTGCTTTTTACCCGGCTGCGCAATGCAAGAGCGCGAAGCGCGACGCGCAGACAGGGTTATGTGTTTAACAGTCTATATATGTATGTTTGTTCCTTTGTGGCACACTAGAGACCAAACGCCTGGACCGATTTTGATGATTCATACATCAATCGATTCGTCTCAATCATGGAAGTGCTACTAAAGATATGATAGTAATCAAAATTCAATATGGGCGAAATTAGGCGCCATATTGTGACGAAGTAAAAAAAATAAGTTGACAAAATATGTCGAGTGGGGTATCACTGTCTAGATAATCAAAAATCATATTTAGGTTCCTAACACCATTTTTCATTTTATATGATTGTTTAGGATCTACAACGCTTTAAAGTTGTATATTAACCACTTACGCTTTTAATTTCAATCTTACGTTTGTATGGATCTTTGTTACTCTTTCACCTCAAAAATACTGAATGGATTTTAATGAAACCTAACAGTAATATAGCTCATATATGATAATTACATATATATATAATAATTTATGTAGTTATTGAGTGAATTGGCCAATATATAACAATAAGTGTCACATAAGACGGAAAAAAAATCCCATCTGCGAGCCATTTTGGCCTGCACTGCAAAAACAATAAAAGTTACATGAATGTAATGTAGAGTGAAAATGTATCTCTTAAATAGTTCTAAAAAAAAGTCCGTGACACCATGTATCTATTTTTAATGTGTAAGTCATTACCGCTAAAATAGTGAATCAAAACTAAAATATTATTTGATATCTATTTCCAAAATGCACATTTTGTATCAACAAATATTTTTTTATCAAAACATATACTTTTATCGCTTTTGATATTTAAAGACGATAAACTTTGCTTTTTACACTATGTCATTTCGACAAATATTTAAAAAGTTACAACGATGAATAAGTGATAGCGCGGTGTACTATGTAGAAGAAAACAAATGGGCTATTCGCAGTATCTGATCCTATACGAAGTACTAACAATAAAACTGTGATACAGTTCAGATATCAGCCCACCACAGTCTGCAACATTGTACCATTGCTTCATGTAAGTTTTATTTAGATTGTGGTATGAGAAAATAAAAATTTATTTATTATTTATTACTGAATTATTACTGAATTATTTAATGATGAAAAATATATTATCATAATAGGTATTTATGATTATTGAATTTCAATGAAAAACTCTGAATTTTACTGTTTTTCATTTTTTTAACGATATTACTTAATGTTACAAAAAAGGTTTACTTAATGTAATGACAAATAACCCATTTTTCGCTAGTAAGTACATACTTATTGGAATCCCTGTATTTATTAATCAGCTCGCGATAATATTGGTTTTGTAATAATTCTGTAAAATTCAAAGTAAATAATGTAGATTTTTATAGGTAAATCACCCCTTTCATCACCCTACGCCTATAAGTATTGCGATGTTGTAGCTAAGAACCAAGTTCCCATCTACTTCTATATGGGAATTCATTATATTCGATTTAGCTATTAGGGCACGGAAGCGCAACAAACAAACTCACTTTCGCATCTATAATATTATATTATACTTACTAGTGATCCACCCGAGCATTGTACGGGCGAAATTTATTTATCGGGATAAAATATAGCCTATGTCACTCGGACAAAATGTATTTAAATAAAGAAAAATATAATAATAAATAATGTAGCTACCTTATGATGAATTAATATTTGAAACCGGTTCAGTAGTTTGACAGATTATTTGTTACAAACATACAAATCTTGCCTCTTTATAATATTAGTATGGATAGTTAGGATAAGATAAGTATTTAATTGATGAAAAAGATTTAAAAATAAAGTAAGTAATAGGTTTATTTGATTATATTTGTAAAAGTTGCTTAGCATTTGTGCTTAACAGTGATACGTTTTTCGGTATTTTTTTAAACAAAAAAAAATTTGGAAAATAATTGCCATGATTGCACTACTGGGAGTACTCTTCATTCGAGCTTTACACTACCAATAAAAAGGGTCGATCACAAAGTCTTTGACCTGTTAAATGTGAACGCTTTAAAAGAAAACTACAAAGAGAACTATAAATTGATAAAAATGAGATTGCTATGGTGTTCTACCTAACGTTATGAAAATTTCATTATGCGCCTTTAGTTTAATCAAATATTATAAACTTTGCTTTGGTGATTGCATAATTATTTAATTTAGTGATCTAAGGCAGTTCCCACCATTGTCCAAAACAACAAACGGCAATTACTGCTTTCTTCAACCTGCGACATAAACGTCATTGATTGGTATTGTATATAGGGTGATTAAAAACATTTGAAGTTAACTTCTGGCATCTACATATTGGGTTTCTGTGAATTATGTAGGTATATCAAATTATGAGAATAGGGACTGACACTGCATTTGTGTATATCACAATCTTAGACGTCCGGCATTGACATGACAATGCAGCCACTGCCAATTTTAAATAGTCGACGAATAAAAGTAAGTAGTAGTAGTATATTTACTGCTAAACTATTAAAAAAAACATAAACAAAAGATGACTTTTTGAGTAAGTGCTAGTTTACTATAAAAGGACATTGCTCGTTCCCCATACATTGAATGCCCTAGAACGCCCAGCAATGAGAAAATGCTAGTTGTGTTCGGAATCATTCATAAACTCTAATTAGGCATTTGTTGAGATACGGACAACTTGAGGAACCGTGGCCTACTACAGAATGTATTTGATTTTGAGGTTATAATTATTATACTTAATCGTAAAAGATGTACACTTTATATATTCTGAATAGATTTTGTGTTTACCTCTATGTAAGCACTTAAATAATATGCATTAAATGAACATAAAATGCAATTAATAATAAAAATAATAAATGCTTATATTCATATTGATTAATGAGTGTTATCAGTTGGCACCTACGATACCTATACCTTACCTGTAGTAATAATAAATTTCTTTTCAAATGAAATGTTCAGTCTTTCCATTTACCTGTTTATATATTTTACTATCGGTAATTAGGTATGTACCTGATTATCATTATGATTTTCATAAAAATAAACAGATATTACATGGGATGGGAGTATAAACTATCTTTACATAATTTCAGAAATAATCTTTTTATAAATATAATACTAGTAATAAGTATTATTAACTAAGGTTTCTCTATTTTTCTTTTGATAAATACCTATGGTCGCCTCTAATGCATTTATTAAAGTAAACAATCTTGGCACAACTTTTTAACAGAATCACCCATTTAATAATAAAATATTAACGAAGCCAATAAACTATTAAAATAAATCGTTATTATAGACTGAAACCTTTTGAATCCAGTTATCAGTTGATTTTTAATGCTGTTTTTTCAATAAAAAGGAGTGCCAAGTTGGATGAATAGACTGTAGTATCTAGTAACAGAACTTTATTTTTTTATTTTTGTAAACAGATTGTCCGTTTACTATGATTAATTGCTAATATGTTAAAAAAAAATAGAAAGATAATAGTGAAGGACATTCTTTTGGGCATGCTAGGGCCGATTTCGTCGATGTCCTTTACATACATTAGAGATATTTATGTAACGACTTGATTTAACTTCAACATTTTTGCGAAAATTGAGGCCCATCTGTAGCCTTGACCCCGCTGGTAAAGTCTCTATATGTCTTAATAAATCAATCTTTTAGACGGACGCAAGGTACTTAATAATTCCCGCGATATTAATTCCCTTACTGAAGTAACAAGACTACGGTATATACCGTCTTAAAATACTAACTGACTAAAAAGTGTGAAATAAAAACGGTAAATTTAAAAAATCAAAAAACCCGACTGCTTAATTATACTTCAAATAAAAACTGAAAAGAAAAAAACAAGTCCAGTAGTCTATAATTCTGTTAATAAGGAACAAAGCTACTTTAACAGTCGGGACCCACTGTTGAAAAATATTATGTATTCTTGAATATCTAATGGGTCCCGACTGTTAAAGTAGCTTTGTTCCTTATTAACAGAATTATAGACTACTGGACTTGTTTTTTTCTTTTCAGTTTTTATTTGAAGTATAATTAAGCAGTCGGGTTTTTTGATTTTTTAAATTTTTAAGGTCCTTCATCCATACAAGCAGTTCGAAATCGATCAAATGACTCATCAGGTATTGAGCCACATTTAAAATCGTATAAATCATAGCACGAAAGTGTTCTCGATGCAGATCTATTTTTTAATGAGACAAGAAAAATTTAATTGGCTCTCAAAAATGCGCAGGGAAATTTGTAAATCGAACAATGGTATTTTTACTTTTAAATAATCGAAGTTTTTAATGTAATTATAAGTGGCCAGTGTCTTATACATAAAAACTTTTTTTCGCAAAACTTTCTGAGTGGCCTGGTTACATCTTCCTGTTAAATTGATTTTTGGTAATTAATAGGTAAGTACTGGTAAGTACCTACTATCTCAAATTTATACTATGCTTTGATGTACTTACATTTTTTATCTAAGGAAAATAAAGCAGTTTAATGCTTAAAATAAAAATATTATAAATTATCTCGTTACATTTTGCTAGAAGTTGACTTAATCCGGGTCCTTCGTTCTTCAAAAAGCTTTAAGTATCTGTTTGACAGCAGTGGAAATTTTGATACCTACATGTAAAAATATAAAAACATATAAAACTGTAACCCCCATATTAATAACTAAGGAATAATCTTAGACTAGTTACGTCGTGTTTTGTTCATATCATTCAAAAGTCATTTGTAATTCAATGAAAAGAGACAAATTATGGAGTAACTAATCCAAGTTCATTCTTCATATATATTAATAAGGGGGTGAAATTTTAATATTAAACTTCATTACTGTTTAAAAACATTATAAAGTAACTTTTTTAATTAACACGAAACATTGCGTGTGACCTCGTAACAAAATAATAAACTTTTTAAATTAATCTCCTCTTTTTATTGAGTTTTATTTATGAAATTTGTGTTACGGCCAGCTCTTCAACTTAGCTTTTTATTATACTGCAGGGTCGCGGTCTCGAAAAAGACAAAGGATGCAGCTCGTTTATGGAAACAGCGCTGGGGTTTCTACAGTCGGCTTCGGGAAATACTAGAAGAAGAAGCCCAGAGAAGCGGTGCACAATTAATTTGTTAACTACGGCATATTTTATGATTTTACCTAAGCACCTACCTACTTAATTTGATACTGGTTTTTCCCTGGAGAAATAGTTAATAATAGAGAACATTAATTTTTTCAATATTAGTTCTGGAGTTAGCGAAGAGTAGTTTTAAATTACCAATATCACTATTTAAAAATATTATAACTTTTCCATTTCGTTCATTTTTTAAATATAATAATAATAATATTAATTTGTAAAAATTGCACATGGTAATATTATATCAGTCATATAGTTATTCCAATAATTTCTAGATCTCTTTATCCAATAAAATACAACATAATGGCTGAGTCAGGAGTTTAATAGTTTCTTTAATTAACAGACCTGCTTCGGTTATAAATCTTAGTTTCTACGTAATAGGGATGAATTTGGAGGAATACCGCGAAGCCTTGCAATCGGTGAGCTGCCAACCAGAGCCACAGGTGTACCCGGTGGAGGTCGATCCGTCTCCGAAAACACTGCCTCGTACATCTGCAGGTACTGAAAGAACCAGTCAATTAGTCAAACTCGCGAAAATCGTGTATTCCGTACAAACTTGTATGTAGGTCAAGTGGTGGTTAGTGTAACAAGGGACACAGTGTAACATAAGGAATATCTCTGCCCTTTTTTATTTGTCTATGATCTGACTTAACGTTTTCTTAGCCCGTTCCACGGGAGCCAATGGACGCCAAGTCCAGCATTTTTCATCAGCTCCTTAAATAATAAAATGCTAATAACAATCAATCGAGCTTGTAGTTTAGATTAAAAAATGGGATCACTTACTTTACCTCCATGACTTAGAAATTGTAAACTTTTGTTCCTATAGAGTACTTCTCATTGACCTAGAAATATGCAAATGGACAAGAAGCAATGCCGAGTGGCTCCAGTATAATGATAATTCTGAGAACCACTATGTCATTACCTCACATGATGAACGAACTAGTTAGGCTCAAGTGGGGGACAATGTAACAAGGGGCACAGTGTTGCATAAGGAGTATGGGTGCGGCCAGAGTGCACTCAGATTCAGATTCAGATTCAGATTTCGAAAACAAGCGCGAGAAATAAACAGTGTAGTCGAAGGGTACGGCCAGATTGCACTCCTGATTCAGATTCAGATTCGGACACAGAAAACAAAGCGCGAGAAAAAGCAGGCAACCTGCTTAGACTACACTGTTTATTTCCCGCGCTTGTTTTCAGAATCTGAATCTGACTCTGAATCTGAGTGCACTCTGGCCGCACCCTATCTCTGTATTATAGCCGGGTTTCTGACTTCTGATGACAGCTGCTTAAGATGGCGGCATATGTAACCATAACCCCTCTTTTACACAAAGGTATATATAATACATGTATTTACATATTTTATATTGTCTTAATTTTTTGTAAATAAACATGTATAAAACATGTAGTATACAATACTTGCAAGTATTGTATACTACATGTTTTAGCAAACTTATTGGATATACAAAATAAGTGAAGTAAATAAGTGATTTATACTTGTAAGATACTCTGTTGTCTATGCAGTGTAAACGAAAGAATGTTTTAAAGAGCCACAACAAGTATTCTACAAGTAATGTTTAAAATATCTAGTTTAAGACTTGTTTCTTGGTGGAAACAAGGGTTTAGGAAACTAATAAAAAACGTCAAGACAGACCATAAACCAATAAAAAAGGGCAGAGATATTAATTTTACCCATAGAATAATAAGTAGTTATACTTGGCCTCAATGTTTTGCTTTCTTGGTAAATGCTTAGTTAATTTCTCCACACTAGGCGTCTTCAGTGGTGATAAAAATTAGTTAATTTTGGCATCTTTGAGGGCTTCTTGTTTCTTTGAAACATAAGTAATCCAAAAAAGTAGCATAGATTGAGTAGAATTAAATTTTATGTATGTAAATCATTTCTATAGTGATAAAAATCAAGGAGGAATCAGTCGAGAACGTTTGTATGGATAAAGCATTACCCGCCTCCCCTCTATATTCTTCAGCTATACCAGCTATGCTAGGTACTGCGCAGACTTATCCATGGTTTAGCTCAAGAAGTTTGCCGGTGCGTATAGTTTTGATTGAAACTGTTCCGCAGTTTTAAGGCAGGGCGGGTGGAGCTGTGCACAAGGGATCCCCACAGCGGAGGGGCCGAAAAATCGTAAGTGGCCCGGGGTTCCAGATTTTAAAATAGGCCCCCCACACCTTCGTGGCCCCAGGGCCTCTACACCTCTCAAGCCGGCCCTAGTTTCAATGCAAGTAAACTTTATTGGTAACTACTTATGTAGGTACTCAGTGTTTCTGACCACTTATTTAACATCTATATACGTTGCAGGTGTAGTGGGCCACAGGGCACGGTGCCCGCTAGAGCGATACGGGCGGCTGGTAAAGACTGATCGAGATTATCCCATCAGGCCGCCGCCGCGCAAAACGCAGATCTACGACCCCTTCAAGCAGACCATGGTATTCTTAGGGTAACTGGTCCAACTTTAAAGGACATTGTTCAGCGTCCATACATAGTTAGCCTAAGAACCAACAATCATGAAATATTATTTTCTAGGTGCAAAATCGTAAGTAAATGACTGTAAAAACAAAGATTATTGACGGACACTTCTGAGAACTTCAATTATTAGGAAAACTAACATTTTTTTGAGGTTATGTTTAATATTCAATGAAACATAGGTCAACCTATGAATTCAGTATGAACTCAGTATGAAGTGAATTAATATTACAACTAATTCATTTTATTCGGTGCGATTTTAAAGAATGACTATTATGAAAAACTTGGTTAGGTAGGAATCATGAATAAAATAAAAACTGTAGTTTTGCTTCTTATTTATTGACTATTTTTCATATAATTGTATCATATTGTTTATTGTAATTATTTGTATATCACATGTATATTATGTAAATATGCAGCGTGAATGTGTATCAGGTGTTCTTCAATAATTTGGCAGTATGATCCTCTCAGGATATTGTGGTTGTGGCACAGGTTCACTAGCACTTGGTAATAAGGGCACTGCTCTTTGGTAACATCGATGGCATATTAGATAGCCGAAATAGTTAAATTAAAGGAAAAACAATCGCAAATAAACACACACAACAGGTAATCCGAAACGAGAATGCACTTTCCGGTTTAATATACTACTCTTTGGAATGCACGAATGCCACAGATTACTACAAATGCAAACTGCATGCACCACAACCACGGAATAACTTCACTTGACAACAGTTTGTCCTTGTCATGCTTAATAAGGAATGAAAAGGACAGACTGATGTCATGTTTTAAAATAGCAAATACGAATAGCCAAGTGAAGTGCCGGCATTAGAAAGAAAGAGTGTTTTGTTTGCAGCGCTGCCATAGATTATACACATAAAATGGTATTTATTGTCTCAGATTATTTTTTAACTTTTTAATTTAGCTTACTTAACTGGAAGTGTCCGTGACAATCTAAATACTGATAATTATCGCAAAAAATATACTAAGAATTATCATAAATGCCAAATTGGTGTTGATTCTTAGGCCAATTTTAACATTGTCCTTTAGAGTACTTACCGACAAAGGAATTTTAAATAGGGGAGTGTGATTTCGCAGTTCATGAAACTATTTAATAAGTATGTTTAATATGCGATTTTTTATTCCAATGAGACTTATAAATGCCTGAACAATATTGAGTGTTATAAATCACGAAGGGGAGTAGGGGGCGAACAGTAATTAACATTTTAACCGGCCCAAATGTCAACCTCACCTGCACGCGTCATACTGACGGCGACAATTCTGTCGTCGTAGTGCTTTCTGCTAGATAACTGACGAGACTCTGACGACCGAGCACTGGCGGTATAACCACACCCACGACCGAGCAACCGATCGGAAGAGGCCTCAGCGACCTTGAGGCCCAAACAACCTGAAAAATGTTAGTAGTGGTAAATGTAGTAGTTTTAAACTACTACACTACATTTCCCACTGAAAGTCGTCATGAAGGTAAAAAATACGAAAAAAAGGTGGCCCTACGAAAAGGTGGCCCAACGTTACGCTTAGCAGCCGGCAGCCGTTCTGTGTCCGGGGCAGACGGTGTGAAATTGACTACCAGCTATGATGGTGTAGGAGACCAGGCAACATATGGAAATCAAACTACAGGAATCTCTTCTACAGTGAAGATACGACAAATCCAAAAGATACGTGGAATGTGCGCGGTCTGCTTCAACCTGACAAGCATGACATTCTAGAAAAAGAAATAGAGCGATGTGATATAAGCGTTTGTGGATTAAGCGAGACCCATGGGAAAGGTAATGGCCACTTTAAAACTGAATCGCACATTGTCTACTTCTCTGGGAACAACGACAACAGCCGCAACGTCGTAGCCTTTGTCCTACCTAATAAAACCAATAACTGTGTAATGGTATATGAAACTGTAAGCGATTGCGTGCTGATTATTAGACTGAAAGCGAAGCCGCTCAATTTGAACATTATACAGTTATACGCACCAACTAGGGTAGTGGCACCAAAACATAAATGACCCCAATAGATGAAAGTTCGACCGAAATTTAAAGATATTAAAAAATCTGCCGCTTACTTTTATGCTATATTTTTTTATGTAATAATATGGCAACACTTTTTCTGCTCGACTCCATGAAAATATTGATATTACCGTCAACGACGCGCTCACGGTCGCGCGCTGCGCAAACTCTTCCCGCCAATAATCAGTTTTCTATGGAAACCTACTTAAGGTAAGTAGCTTCCACATTTAAGCATAACGTCAAATTAAACATTTAATTATAGCTTTGTTTCGTTGGTTATGGATACAATAAAATCTTGATATATTTGGCTTTGATTACGTAGTGTCAGATTTATGCACATTACTGTATTTTAGAAAAATACTCTGTTCAAGTAATGGATTAAATTTTGTAAGTAAATTCCAATAAATGAACGGCGTTCAACTATTGGAAATGTGGAGGCGACATCTACATGCCTCACATATAACTAACATGGAGGAAACAATCTTACGCCTCCGCAAGAGATGGCGTTAACGGCGCTGCGTTCACAACGTATGGAAACCTACATCGCGCTAGAGAAATTCGGAGCCTAACACTCCATATATACGATGCCCGACCAATATCAGACGGCCCAAACCCGGTGACGCTGTAAAGGTCATCTGCGGCCAACAGCATACACACTCAAAAAAAAAATATATATCAGACGGGCCGCGGCCCCCGAGCTACCATCATCCAGCTCGGAGGAAGATTGGTCCCTTTGGTCTTCCTACAGAAATAATGCAAATAATTGCAGACATCAATAATCTATATATTGTTCGTGTAGTCAAACCAAAACAACTCAAATTGATTTTAAATAATATTATGAAGCTAGTTACCAAAAGTTGAACATAATTTGTAAAGGCTTTTGTTTATTTTTACGTTTTTTATTTTAGTATGAAACCGTTTACTGTTACATTTTAGGATTCATGCCCAAAACTTGAACCAAACAATTATGTTCAAATTATATTCGTTCAACTTTTGGGTATCGGTTTTTAAGTTGAACGCTTAAAGTAGGTAATTCTGTTTTTGAAATTTTCAATTCAAAGTTGATGTGTCGAATAATCAAGAAACATCCCAGAACCTTGAAGTTTACCGAACCGATTATTCAGGATTTATCACTGCAAGATTTACTCAACAATGAAAAAGGTGCCCATAGCCAGAGCTTACATGTGAAAAAAGTCAATGTCTGATGCAACTCCTGAAACAAATTACTTAACCGGTTTGTACCAAAGTTATAAAAGACAAGATTGATGAGTTCCTGAAACTTCCTGAATCCAAAGTAGGGCACAAAGCGAAAACAATCACATTCACCAGTTCCTCTAGCAATAATTTCTAAAAAGTTTAAAGAATACCTGGAACTCAAGGATAATGAGAAGAAAAAGAAAGCAGAAGATATAAAGAATAGAAAGCGAGAACAAGCAAAAGCAGAAAAGGACAAAACTATTAAAATAAAGAAATCTAAGGTAAAGAAAGTAAATACTAAGGTCAGTAAAGTTAGTTTGTGCTGGTGCAAAGGAAGAAAAGGCAGTTTAAAATCAATTACCTAAAATCGAGAGACATAGAACTGCTACTACTAGTTTCGATGTAAGTACCGAAGAGACTGAAATGATTCATGAAAATAACAGAAGTCTGATTAGAGATAAAAGATAAGAGTATAAGTTTTAGAGATTACGTTGTGTGGAGGTTTGAGATTAATAAAAAAATCGCTACTATGTCGGACAAGTCCTGAAAATTGACTTTGACAATGACTTCGTTAAAATTAAATGTTTAAGGAAGAAGGCCAGCACATTTGACAATTTGACATATTTCAATGAGCCCTTCACTGCTGATTTAACAGAAGTACTAATTTCAGCTGTCATAAATGTTTTACCATCTCCCCGAATTGGAAGAAGAGGATTGATTACATTTGAAAACACAGAGTTTGATCTCAATTTGTGTGAATAATTTAAGTACAGACCTATCTGTAGTTATAACATTACATAGGTAATACATTTGTTTCACCCAGATTACTGGAGTTAGTTTAATAACTTGTTTTGCTTACAGCTGGCTCCTGCTATTGTTAAATTTATTAGGCAGGTCCAGCTATTGTTTAGTTTACTAGTAAGGTTGTGATTGTGATCTCAATTATTAGGTTCCACTTGTATTACTTTGTTAATGAATTCGATAAGTGGGTAAATAATATTGTACCTACTTAAATAAAATTAGTATGGGTACTTCTTGAGACTGTGTAATATTTACATCTATTAACTAATATAAATAATTTTTTTTTTGTTAAAAGTTGATTAGTTTATGTAACATGTCAATTGATCTCGCAAAGACAAAAAAATATTAATAGCAAGAATGTGATTTTTATATAGAGGTAAAAGGTTTTTTTGCAAATAATGCTTTTTATTTAGAAATTGAAAAATTAAATAAAGTAACAGCCTGTTGTTATTCCTATCAAAATGTTAGTTCAACTATTAGGTTCTAAACGTTCATAATTAAGACATGTCGTTCAAGTATAGGGGTAAAACCACAAATTTTACAGAAATAGTTATTTTATCAAAAAACTGGTAGCCTAAGGAATTATTTTCTTAAATTACTAAAATCTTGAGAATGATCTGGAATCATTAAAAATATCAGCAAGCGCCAATAGTTCGAAAAGGGATTCAAAGTTGCGCAAACCTCTTAATCGTTCATTTATTGGTGCCACTACCCTAGTACATCAAGTGACGCAGAACTGGAAGTTTTTTATACTGAACTGGAATCGACTATAGCTAAAATCCCTAAGAGGGAACTCTTACTCATAATAGGCGATTTGAACGCGAATATAGGGGCACATGCAAATCAGAGAAGCCCTAATTTGAAATTCGGACTCGGACAGCGAAATGAAAGAGGTGAACGCCTTATACAGTTTGCCTCTGAGAACAACTTGGTGATAACAATCAGTTTTTTCCAAACTGATGCTAAAATAATATATACATGGATGTCACCTAACGGCCATTATCAGAACCAAATTGATTACATCATGATCGGTTCAAGATGGAAAACTTTGTAAAGAATGTTCATACCTTACCAAGGGCTGTTTGTGGATCAGATCACCAATTTCTAGTAGCGAAAGTTCAGGTTAAGCTCAGCCAACTGATAGATCTAAATTTATGGCTGCGATCAAGCAAAACTGGCATTAATGGACTAACAATGATCGTCAGTCTGCTTCCCTGGATCAGCTGTGGTGTGAGACAAAAGAGTTTCTTGAAACCGATGTGACACAATCGAAACAATCTATACCGGTTCACAAACATCAACACTGGATAAGTGATAAAACCTTAGCCCTTCTAGAAGAAAGAAGAAACATAAAATTTATTTTCGCCGATACAAGAACTTTGAATAAAATGTCTGCTCTTATACGAAAGGCCTGCAGATGTGATCGCAATAGTTATCTTCAGAAATTGTGTACAGAAGTTAAAGCTCATGCAAACCGACATGAAACAGGAGATCTGCACCACACGATAAGATGCATCACAAAGACTTTTTCTTCCAGGACATGGGCTATAGAGAATCCTCAAGACCAGCTCCTGACTGAAATAGGCGCAATAGCTGAGGCTTGGAAAGAATACTGTGTCATTATTTTAAGACCACCACGCTCATAACTTTCCTCCAACAGAGCCTAAGGACGAACATAAAGAGCCATCTATTCTTAAAGACGAAATTCGAGCCGCCATCAAAAGACTTAAGAGCGGAAAAGCCACAGGAAGGGAATGCTTTACCGATTGAAACCATCAAAGCATTGGGAGAGTAGGGCGTAGAAGTGTTTCATAGCCTGTGTAACAAAGTCTGGGAAACAGTAACTTGGCCCCAAGAATGGACTCACACTGTCTTTGTGCCTCTACACAAAAAGGGCTCGACTAAAATACGCAGTAACTACCGCCTCATTGCTCTTATCTCACATGCAAGCAAAATATTGCTGCATATTTTGAACAAGAGATTGAAAGCGTATCTATCTAAAAAGATTGCCCCGGAACAAGCTGGCTTCGTAAAAGGAAAAGGAACTTGTGAACAGATCCTAAATGTGCGCCAAATCATTGAAAAGACTTGGGAGTTCAATAACCCAACTTACATCTGCTTTGTGGACTTCTCAAAAGCATTCGATTCGGTGGGGTGGCAAGTACTTTGGGAGACTCTCCTGGACATGGGAACACCAAAACACCTTGTTCACCTTTTGAGAAGACTATTCGAAGACGGAACAGCCTCAGTCACAGCAGGCGACATTTTTTCGAACCATTTCCACCCCAGTGCCGGAATCCGACAAGGTTGTATTGTGTCTCCGATACTGTTCTGTTACACAGAACTGAAATGAGAATAACACTCGAAAATTGATCAGACAGAATCAGTATAAGACTTGCAATCTCAGGTACGCGGACGACACCACACCGTTTGCAACAAGCGCAAGTAACAGGGAATGTATGCTAAGCAAAAGGTAAGGATCAAGTTAGTCGTGATTTTGGCCTGAAAATAAATCGCAGTAAGACCAAGATTATGATTGTTGATCGTGCTAATAACAACTCGCCAGAAGTCACTAAAATCGCGAACTGCGATATCGTTCAGTCATACGTCTACTCGTAAGGGCATTAGTGTTTACCATATTGCTATCGTGTCAAAACGTGGACCTAGCGAGAGAGTGAGAAAAAGAAGATAGACGCTCTAGAAATGTGGTGCTGGAAGAAAATGCTTGGCATACAGTGGACACCGAACCAATGTATCCATCCTCCAGGAACTGTCCATCAAACAACGTTTTTCTTTCATCGTGCAAGGTCGTATTCACACACGACTGGTACTGCACGGCAAAGTCGTGGACGTAAGGGCGCGCGGCAGATCACCAATGCGCTGGACCGATCAGATAAAAGCGGCACTGAACGGTCCACTTCACGAGTTCACGAGAAAAGTCGCAGTGCGGAAGGAATGGCGGCGTATTGTGAAGCACGCCACCAACCCTGATGTGACGACTACGACCACTCAGTCAAGAGTGTAGCGCCGAAGAAGAAGAAAGCACTAAACTTGTCAAAAAAACTAATTAAAACTATAAAATATAAATATAGTAAAACAGTCTCATTCAGGGAAGTAAGGCAGTCGTGTTTTTTTTTACTAGAACTTATCATAGTTAGTAGTTACCTATGACTCGTAGCAGTGGTTATTAGTACAGTCAATCTGTCGAAAAAAATATCGTTTCAGTGAAAAAAAAACCTAAAGGGTAAGTCTTGTTTTTTCTGTTGCCAAATGACGTCAGTAAGCCACCTTGGCGATGGGCATGTTCAACTCGTAGGCGTTTTTTGAAAAACTCAAAAAAACCGTCAAAAATTTTTTGAAACGCATTTTTCTTGTTTCGTATGCATTTTAGAAACTTTTTTTTCTACCATAATTGTAGAGGGCGTTGAGTGGTACAATTAATGTCATTGTTGCAATCTCGTACAACAAAAAATGCGCATTGTAGATGGCGCTAAAGTCTATAAAAAAGTGTTTTTTCACTTTTTCACCCTGAAAATATCATTTTAATGGAAAACTTAATAAAAAAATAGTAAAAACGTACATTGAAATGTGCACTGCAAATGTGTACTTGAAATGTAATTGTAGTATCCGCTCTATTGGATTTTTCATACCTGCGCAATTTATAACTTGAAAACGGTGAGTAATACAAAAAAATTGTTTATACAAAAGTTGTTGGTAATTATGTACGAAATAACTTATCCATTTAAAGTTTTCCATTAAAATGATATTTTCAGGGTGAAAAAGTGAAAAAACACTTTTTTTGAGACTTTAGTGCCACCTACAATGCGCATTTTTTGTTGTACGAGATTGCAACAATGACATAAATTGTAGTACTCAACGCCCTCTACAATTATGGTCGAAAAAAAAGTTTCTAAAATGCATACAAAACAAGAAAAATGCGTTTCAAAAAAAATTTTGACGGTGTTTTTGAGTTTTTCAAAAAACGCCTACGAGTTGAACATGCCCATCGCCAAGGTGGCTTACTGACGTCATTTGGCAACAGAAAAAACAAGACATACCCTTTAGGTTTTTTTTTCACCACTCAACCTACAGATTGACTGTTCTATATAGTTCTCAAATCAGAAACATAATATGTATCGTAGGATGATTTTATAAATCGAATTTTCGCGAAAATTAATATGCACACAGGAAATAAAAAGAGGTGTGAAGGTCCCCACTGCTGGGGCATACGCACAAGCCTTCTCCATGGATGGCATACAGAAAATGGGCCATGATCCACCACGCGGTCACAGTGCAGATTGGTAGGTGCTAACGAATGCAAATGCAACCCGGACCAACTAATGTGCCTCCCGAAGCACGGAGGAGCTCGAGATAATACATTTTTGGTCACCAATCCAATGGCAAATACATATTTGCCATTGGATGGGTGCCCAACAAACAAACCAAATGTATATCACCATATGATTTTATTGAAATATTCCAGGAGTGTAGACGGAGATCCGATATCGTATAAGCTGCCCCCGGCGCGTTCCGAGGTGACGGAGGAAATGTGGGCGCGGCCGCACCAACTCGAAGTAATGCCGCTCTGCAGAGACAATCTAGAGAAGGCGTTGCAATAAAATAAAAATCATCCATCAGTAAATAATAGGATCTACAGGTTAATTATGTTAAAAAGATCATTAGTATACGCGAAAAAAAACAATGGACTGATTACACTTCCTTGTAATACACCTAATTTATTTGGTGCTAGTTCTGACCTATAAATAGATGTGGTTCGATTTACATCCAGTTGAGTGATTTTCAACACTTTGTGTTATATCCTGTTATCCTAGTAGGATTTCATCCATCTTAAAGGAGCGCCTAATTCTCACGCGTTCTAATTAGGAGATCAATCGATCATGATCAGTATGTTGTGTAGCTTTTCTTATTCACATTTTGTTATATCTCATTAGCGTGTTAGTGATATTTTTTTAAACTACATCAGTTCTTGCATATATTGATTTTAAGTTAGTCAACTTAAATTTATCAAAAAACATAGTTATCTGAATTATGCATTACATTTTCGAAAATTTTAGAAAACAGTATAAGTGTGACTGATCTATAATTACTTACATCACTTTTTTCGCCTTTGTTGTGCAGTGGTTTCACAATAAAAACTCATAATATTTCCGGAGCTCATCTTTGCATTGCTTTATTACCGTATTACATAGTATTGTATGTACTTAATTACCAATAAATTGAAACCGACGAAAAAACTGAATGCAAATTAATAAACCTTTTTTTATTTAACCTTAATAACTAAGTTCTTAAACAGATGTAAGACTTCCTAAGTAACTTTGAGACTGCGCCTTTTTAGAATGTTAATGTTTATCGCACGTTTATCGCTAGAGATTTCACTAATTTATTGTAATACTCGTACTAGTGGCCCGCCGTCGCTTAGCTTCGGTGTAGAGTTGTAGTGTAGACTATTCGCTATGTGCACGACAGTAGCGCCACCTACAATGCGCAACTTTCCGGGATTATGCCAAATAATAACATCAGTTTGTATTTTATTGATTTCTAGTAAATATAGTAAGGTAAAGATAAATAAAAATTATTATATATTGTATAATAATTTAAATAATGTCGGATTTCAATTCGGAATTCAGTACAGTCAATAATAACTCTTGTATTGATGTAATCTGGACTGAAACACTTGGGCATTGGTGCTTGTACGGTGGCTCTATTCGGCCAAAAGATTAAATTAGCAGTTGAACAAGCTAGATTTTGTAAGATCGAATGAAATATACGTGAGATTGTGGTTTTTTTGTACACCAAATAACACACTCAATGCTGAAAATGTCAAGCCAGTTTTCATTTTTATCAAAAAAATCAGAAGTCGGTCTTTAGTGGAAACTGTACATTTTCTCATAGTTAATCTTGTTAATAAAAACTCAAAATTGCTAAATGACACACCAGAAGGATCTAGGAGTTCTTGATCATTTGTTATTGATGAAATACCAACAAATTCTTGACTTTTTGTTTCGGTAGATTGATCCTCATACGATTTTTTGTCAGTGCCACAGCTTTTATCTTTCTTTCTTGAATTATTTGTCATTAAAATTCTTGATGTTGGATCACAGTGATCACTGTAAATTAATCTAATACAAATAAAAGTTGTATCTCTTAATTTCGATTCAGAAAACATATTGACTTGACATCCTTGATCGATCATAAAAGGTTGAGTTTGATTTAATTCACTCCCTTCTTCAATTATTATTTGACTTGATGTGGTATCTGAGACTTTTGTGGTTCTTCGTTTTGTCAAGCGTGTATATCTAGCTAGGACCTGTGAATCATTAACCTTCCTCTTTCGATATATTTCAGGGAATATCGTAGGAGCATAACTCGGATTTTCTTCCTCGTCTGATTTTTTGTTTCCCATAAAATGTTCACTACAAATTGTGTCGTCAGGTTTGGGATACCATGGCGACCCATCAACACTAAAATAATAAAGACAATAATGAATATCACATAAAATATATAGCGCAAATAAAATTGATCATAATTTAAGGTTATTTCGCTTACTTATTTCTTTTTATGGCATCTATCCATTTATTTCTTTGATTTAATTTCCAGTCCAATGTAGGAAATATATACACAGACTATTTGTGCCCTTATTTTTGCAATTCACAACACAACAACATCTATTAATAGGCATTTTAAAAAATTTTTGTTTATTACGAACTCCGTGCAAATTGACTTTACTTTCCCGGATTGTTGCGTATTTCTGCCACTATAAGCGCTGCGATCGCTTCACTATACCCCCACCATGTACTTCGCACATAGCGAATAGTGTTTGTTTTTAGCTTGTATTATTTATTACAATGAATTTCTTTATGTAATTATAAACCTTATATGAAAATTTATTTAACTGATAGTGAAAATTTTGTTGCGTACCCCGTTGTACCGAATGCACTCATTTTTTTGGTGGAACGCGCAAATCTCAAAATCTTATGGTTCGATTTGAAAAAATCTTTTTGTGTTAGATATAGAATTTATTGAGGAAGGCTTAAGGCTATATAATGTTACGCTGCGACCAGTAGGAGCGGAGTATCCAACACAATGGAGTATACAACTTGGGAAAATCCGTTGCGTGCGTTGCGTAAATTATTAAAATTACACCCATATGCCCATCTTTTAAGTTTGACACATTATAACTTTTTTCCTCAAATAAACGCGGGTGAAACTGTAAAAGTTAGATATTATGTATAATAATAATAAACATTTATTTCAGGCGTGGTACCCATATTACATACAGCAATAGAAAAACAATAGATAATAAAATTAAATATTCACAATAATAATAATAAAATATATAAGTTACAAATAATTACAATTAATTTATATTAAATGATAAATCGATCAAATAAAATCAAATCATATGATGTCGCGGAAATTTTTGTAGATACTTATGTCCTCTATAAAACTTTAGTACATCACTTTGCTCTATTGTCAATGACTTCCACAGCGTAAGCGATATACATTAAGTATCGGGATTTTTTCAATAAAACAAAAAAAATACAAATTATTCTTCTAAATTTAATTTATCGCCTTCAAAGTAGGCCCTATTGCTTGCAATACAACATCTCCACCCTTCCCACCTAGTCCTCCATACATTTTTCATAGTCTACTTGCGGCCTTGAGCTCATTCAGCGAATTTTCTTTTTTGGCTTCTATCGACTCTAAACATTTCCCTCGAAGTGGTAATTTTAACTTGGGAAATAAAATAAAAGTCAGACGGAGCCATATCAGGTAAATACGGTGCTTGGTCGAGAACTTTTGTTGAATTTTTCGCTAAAATCTCTTACCCAATAATGGCTGTGTGTGATTGTGCGAGGAGCTCGATGGCGCAAGTGGTTAGCGCGTTGGGCTGCGATCGTTGAACTTAAGCAACTTTAGCAGTGGTCGGTCATTGGATGAGTGACCAAAAATTACTATCTCGAGCTCCACCGTGCTTCGGAAGGCATGTTAAGCCGTTGGTCCCGGCTGCATCTGCAGTGTGGTGTGTCATGGCCCAATCTTCCTATTGCATCCATAGGGAAGGCCTGTGCCCCAGCAGTGGTCACATTAGTAGGCACACACGACTGGTGCAGCACACACGACTGGTGGATGATGATTTTAACGATGATGGTGCAGCATCCATGAATTGTGTTGCCACAAATCTTGACGTTTTCGGCGGATACTCTCACGCAAACGCTTTATGACGCCTAAATAATATTCTTTATTCACTGTTTCTCATTCTGGAAGGAATTCGGAGTGAACCACACCACGGTAGTCAAAAAAAACTGTCAGCATCACCTTGATTTTGAAGCGACCTTGCCGCGGTTCTTTGGGTTTGAGCTCGTTTTCGAAACGCCATTCTGAAGACTGTTGGCTTGCTTGCATGTCGTACTCATAAACCGATGTCTCGTCGCCAGTTATTTTACGTTTCATAAAGGTAGGATCCGAAGAAGCTCGGGAAAACATGTCTTCAGCGACATACTCTCGCTGCGCTGTTTGAACAAAATTGAGCTTTTGGAACTAGTCGAGCGGCGACGCGTTTCATGCCTAAAATGTCAATGAGAATGTTGTGGACGGACTTAAAAGATATGTTCACATCACAAGCCAACTCTCTCAGACGTCGATTTTCGAGCACTAGCTTCTTCATTCTTGACGACCTCCGTGGCCGAGTGGTTTGTACGCCGGGTTTCATGGCGTCGCCGACTCGAGAGGTCCCGGGTTCGAATCCCGGTGGGGGCAGATGTTTGTGTGATGAACACGAGCATTTGTACTCCAGTCATGGATGTTTAATATATGTATTTCTATATAAATATACTTATATATGTAAAGTATATGTATTCTATCAGTTACCCTAGTACCCCATAACACAAGTCTTATAGTGCTTACTTTGGGGCTAGGCTAATTGGTGTGAGTGTTGGAAATATTTATTTATTTATTCTGTCTATGTTTTTTTTGGTCGTAGCGGTTGAAGGTCTACCAGAAGGAGGTAAGTCTACCAAGGTACCTGATACAAATAAGGCCTATGCTGAAATAAGGCCTGTAGTGCAGAAAAGTCTATTAAAATATGTTTACCTGCATCAAAAATACTTTACACACGCAAAGATGACAGTTCTACAACTCGGCAAACTGTGCACGAGCGGTCCGCTCGAGCTCATACCGGCAGTAGTGGCGGTACTTTACGAAGGACGAGCTTTTCATAGCGCGCTATTAATTTGTCGTAATCGAAACGAATTTTAATACGTTATTCTTTGAAGTTTTGTTTCATTTAATGTATAGGGATCACAATATAACTAATCAAAAAGTTGACTATGTCTTAAAATTTAACTTTTTAGAATATGCGAATTAAATACTACTTATAACTTTTATAAAGTATAATGTACTAAATAAAGCCTACTTTTATAAAAGGCCTTATTTTTATCAAATATATCTATCAAAATATATTTCTTTTCCAATATTTAATAATATTTACGAGAAGATACGTTAATTTGCTAATTTTTGCTTGTATGGATATCTTTTTTTTATATTATTCTTTATCTTTTGTTAATATGCGACTTCAAATCTGACTAGCAATTTAAGATAATTGTTATAGCAGTTTAAGCAAAATATTTAATAAAATAAATTAGAATTTTGTTCAATGATCCCATGGAAACACTTAGTTTGATTAAAGGCTCAGAAATACATATTTTAATATAATTTATACTCCAATAACAATATAATTCCTATAATTTAAGTACATAGGCTTTGTCAAGTTACTATGTTTTTAAAAGGCCTAAGGCCTTCCAGAATAAGGTCTTTTTGTGATTTCTGATAATAGATTGTAATATGTTTTCTTAATTACTAAAAATTTATGAACCAAGGAATAATGCCTTGCTTTTATTTATCATCTTCTTCGAATAATTTATCATGATATGAGTGTTTGAAATTAGGTAGGCCTTATTTGTATCACTTACCTTACTACTTCTTAGCCTTTTTTAAAAGCTTGTGCCATTCATATGCCCTTGTTGATATGCACCACTCGCCGTAGGTTTTTTGCAGCATTTTTAGCGATTCACCACATGAACTCATTCGAAACACAAAATTTAAGGCACACTCTTTGTTCAACAATATTTTCCATTATAATAATCACCGAGGACTCAAATCTATGACCAACAAAAAGTGCAGTTTTAATCAAATTAAATGACAGATCCCGCTCAAATTCCGCAGTAAATCAGTACAATGCTACCAACATGCAGTAAAAAAATAAAACGACCTCTTTTACGCGGGTCTTTTTATTGACATATTCCCGATACTTTTACACGGAGTAGTAAAGTTACTTTTTGGTATATTTTTTACACCCTTGGTTACATTATCGAATTTTTCATACGGAATCCTAACTTTTTTGAAAATACTCAATAGCCTATGTTTACCAGGGATAATGCAAAATTCTAAATGTGTAAGAATTTTTCAAATCGGGCAGTAGTTTCGGTGCCTATTCAATACAAACAACCAAATCTTTGCTCTTTATAATATTAGTATAGAAGTATAGATACAACTCAGACTAAAAATATGTGAGTGAACAATCGTCCCTATTTCCCATACGTAGGATAGGATATTTTTCCAAATAAGATTTTCATAAAACTCAGTCCGATAAAAGAATTATTGTAATGATTCTTTGTACAAGTCGCAGCAAACTTCGTCGCCCCATCTGGGTCTGGGCCCTATTTCACCAAGTCGACATATGTCACTACATAATATGTAAGCGAACAAATAACGAGTGACAATTGTTTTCGGAAATGCATATAAAATTACAGGTATTTTGTTACAATAATAATTGTCCGTATCTTAGGTACTCCAACGACAATTATGTATTATTTTTATTGTTTTAGCATTTACCTGCTAGATGTTTAAATCTTTGACATTGTGGGTTACCTACAATGCGAAGAGATGGTGCTGCCTTCTAGCTTAAGAAACACTAGACAAAATTCGACACGACCATCAGGGCCGCGGCTGCATAATGGTCAGTGCATTCGCCCGGATGGCGAAGGGTGCGGGTTGGAGTCCCATCTGCTGCCTGGTCCGCGTGGAATTTTTTCTAGTAAAATTTTCTTTAGACAATTATGTTGTGAAACAAGGGTTACTTTTTTAAGTTGACATATTTAACAAATTGTCGGTAATTCTTGACATGAGATCGGGGCTATGTCAGATTTGCGTTACATTTGTAGTGTTTTCGTTGTTAGTTACAAAATGGCTCCCGATTATGTGTGTAGCTACCCTTGCATATGTCTGCATAGGTACTTTTTTTTTAGTGTGTATGCTGTTGGTCGCAGATAATCTTTACAGCGTCACCAGGGTTTGGGGACGGCGAGATCCTAAGGGGACCTCAAGCCGAGAATTGGCGATTGCCTCTACAGGTATTCCAGGCGGATGGCGTCTCCCCACGGTGGAGATGCCATTCGCCTCTTCCTCTCCGTCTGGAGCCTCTAGATCGAAACTGAGGAGGTCGGCTCAACTAGAGAGCATCTCCGAAACTCGGTCCTCGGCTCTAGTTAACCGTTGTCGTGGGAGGCGGAGAAAAACGCTCAGGTACGTACCTGTACCTGGTATAGCGCGTCGTGTTAACCGGGTATTCGCACTCTTATCCTACGGGTGCGGTCTCTGCCTAACGCTAAGCTAGTGTGCAAGTTTGCTAGCTGTATAACTACGTCACGTCAGTGTCATAATATGACAGTCGTCATGCGATGATGTACACACACTACAGACATATTTTGTCTGTAGTGTGTGTGAATGAGGCAGAGGTTTTATTCTTCATCCTTCTTACTCATAACCAAAAACTTTGTATTATAGCATCAAGAAAAAATTTCAGTAAAGAATTATATAACATAAATAATACGAAATATTAAAATAAGTTTTTTATTAGTTCGTAACGATTTTTGTAAATAACTTTGTATTTATTTCATGTTTAATACTGCCGGCAGCTGCATGACAATATTCTCCGGTGGTATTTCTAATATGACCGCCTCGTCTTTGTCCAACCAGTGGAATCCGACCAAGTACTGGAAAAAAAAATACACTTTAGGGAAATCATAAAGTTGCATCTGGCAACCCTGCAAGGAGGACTGACAGCTGTTGGGTCGGAAAGGTTCTCGAGTGGCGGCCGCGACACAAGGTGGACTGACGATCTGGTAAAGATCTTTTAGAACCGGTGGTAGGTTTACGGTAGTTAGGGTCAAATAAATAAACTCAAAATTACAAAAAAGAATTTTAAATAAAGTAGTTTATTAATTAAATTAGCTAATAAATTCATACATAGACACTAAAGCTTTAAAAAATCTTCCAAATAGATATCCGATCGCTCAATAAAAGTCTTTCGAAGGTAGCTCGACAAAGTAAATAAAAAATCATTATTCTGACGACGCAGACCTGAACAGGCTGAGAAACGTCAATAAATAAATAAATTCAGTTTTATCACATTACTTATTTTTTGTTTATTAGAAACGCCAGTGTGACGTTACGGTCGGATAACAGATTGGTTCAAACCATAGATAAAGGATGTAATGATAGACAGAGTACCTATCTCGTGTAGCAAAAAAATAATTGTGCTTGTTCTAAAATAAATTATTAAAACCAAAAAAAGTTGCAGTGGAGAGACAGACATATTTATTATGTATTAGGAGTGACAGACGTAAAAAATTGTCAATATGTAAACAAGTTTAAAAAAGGTCAAGGGTGTTCTATTGTATCAAAGAAATTTTCTACACCTCCCCGTAATAGAACCTGTAGTTAGGTATATTAAAACTGTAAGTAGTAAATTCCGTATTAGTACAGTCAATCTATCGAAAAAAATATCGTTTCAGTGAATAAAAAACCTAAAGGGTAAGTCTTGTTTTTGCTGTTGCTAAATTACGTCAGTAAGCCACCTTGGCGATGGGCATGTTCAACTCGTAGGCATTTTTTGAAAAACTCAAAAAAACCGTCAAAAATTTTTTGAAACGCATTTTTCTTGTTTTGTATGCATTTTAGAGACTTTTTTTGCGAACATAATTGTAGAGGGCGTTGAGTACTACAATTTGTCATTGTTGCAATCTCGTACAACAAAAAATGCACATTGTAGGTGGCGCTAAAGTCTCAAAAAAGTGTTTTTTCACTTTTTCACCCTGAAAATATCATTTTAATGGAAAACTTTAAATGGCAAAGTTGTTTCGTACATAATTACCAGTAACTTTTGTATAAACATTTTTTTGTATTACTTACCGTTTTCAAGTTATAAATTGCGCAGGTATGAAAAATCCAATAGAGCGGTTTTGGGCAGTTCAAGTACACATTTGCAGTGCACATTTCAATGTACGTTTTACTATTTTTTATTTTTTTTTTATGATTGAAAAACAAAAAAAAAATGAAAAAAAAATAGTTTTATTTTTATTTTTTTTCATGATTGAAAAAAAAATAGTAAAAACGTACATTGAAATGTGCACTGCAAATGTGTACTTGAACTGCCCAAAACCGCTCTATTGGATTTTTCATACCTGCGCAATTTATAACTTGAAAACGGTAAGTAATACAAAAAAATGTTTATACAAAAGTTCTGGTAATTATGTACGAAACAACTTTGCCATTTAAAGTTTTCCATTAAAATGATATTTTCAGGGTGAAAAAGTGAAAAAACACTTTTTTGAGACTTTAGCGCCACCTCATCATCAGCCTATTAATGTCCTCACTGCTGGGGCACAGGCCTTCCCTATGGATGGAATAGGAAGATTGGGCCATGACCCACCACGCGGGCCCAGTGCGGATTGGTTGGTGCTAACGACTGCAAATGCAGCCGGGACCAACGGCTTAACGTGCCTTCCGAAGCACGGAGGAGCTCGAGATAGTAAATTTTTGGTCACCCATCCAATGACCGACCACTGCGAAAGTTGCTTAACTTCAACGATCGCAGCCGAACGCGCTAGCCACCTGCGCCATCGAGCTCCTCATTTGCGCATTTTTTGTTGTACGAGAATGCAACAATGACATAAATTGTAGTACTCAACGCCCTCTACAATTATGTTCGCAAAAAAAGTCTCTAAAATGCATACAAAACAAGAAAAATGCGTTTTAAAAATTTTTTGACGGTTTTTTTGAGTTTTTCAAAAAACGCCTACGAGTTGAACATGCCCATCGCCAAGGTGGCTTACTGACGTCATTTGGCAACAGAAAAACAAGACTTACCCTTTAGGTTTTTTTTTCACCACTCAACCTACAGATTGACTGTACTATATCCAAGTTATGCTATACACTAAAGCCTTAAAAGTAAACAAAAATTAACACAAGGTATAAGCAAACACACTGTATAAAGCATCTGAATAAAACTATCTTAACCTACAGACTATCCCACCGTAAGCCTAATAATGAAGTGCATCTACAATGTTTGATTTTGTTAATAGCTTGGTTAGGACGTCTGCGATCATGTCTGTAGCCGGTATGTACCAAAGCTGAAAGTCATGTTGTGATAGTTTTCTAATGAAATAATGTCTTATATCAATATGCTTGGTTCGAGAATGATACGATGTATTGTTGCGTGTTAGTCTTAATGCACTTTGATCATCGGAATATATGGCCATGGGATGAATGACATGAAAGACATCGTTGATTAGCGTCCTAAGATACATGACCTTTTTGCAAGCATCTCCTATTGCCATTTACTCTGTTTCTGTTGTAGAAAGCGCTGGAGTACGTTGTTTCCGTGCCGCTCATTTTAAATACATAGCCAGAGTAGGAACGCCTATCTATGGGACTGTTGCCATAATCGGCATCCGCTAACCTATTGGGTAGTTGTCACCCTTTTGGAAGCTTAGTCCGACATTTTTGGTGGCTTTGAGATATCGGAGAACTCTTTTAGCAGCTTTCCAATGCACCTCCCCATAATGTACATTGAACTGGATCAGATATGACACTGCGAATGAAATATCTGGCCGAGTGCCTAGAGAAATGTACATTAAAGAACCAATTAACTTATTTGTTTCTTAGGTTTTCACGCACATCACTCATTAAATAAAACTAGTTTTTACGGGTTAATGCACGAAATTTTATTTATTTATTGACGTTTCGTAGCCTTTACAGGCTACGTCGTCAGAACCAATTAACTGCTGGTACGAGACTTCCGGTTTCTCATCTTCCTTTTCAGGTAGAATACGTTTAATACCAGGCTCTAAGGGTGTTGTGACAGGGATTGCATTTGACATTCTGAATTTTTGGTCTGATGATGGTGATTTATGGGTCTTGGTAACATAGCAGTGCATTCAACCAGATACAGAAGGATGTTGATTCGATTCCCACTTGATATTGGTACCTAGACTAATTAGAATTTTTCCAGTACTACCTGATAATTTTCTTTAGTAAATAGTAATTTTTTTTTTTACCTTGATTGGTATAACTTTTAATCCAAAGTTTGTTCCTCCCTTGACCTTCTTTTTGGCGACGGGCTCTTCCGGTTGCCCCTGGAAATTACAATAAAATTGATGTTATTGATGATTTAAAAAGAATAGTAAAGACTATCTGAATTACAATGTATTATGTGCTTAATTTGTTAGCGATCTGATAATATTTTAGTATTGTTCAAATTTTATTGACATCTTGGACCTAACCAACACCAAATCTAAACACATTGAAGTTTAGCATAGAGAATAAGATAAACAGTCTTATTTTTATGCTAGCTCTTCACATGGTTATCGTATTTGCTATTTGTCATTTTGCCAGCTGGTTGTCCTTATCACACTCAAAAGTATGTAGCTGCATTGCATAGCATTTAACTGCTAGTAAAAAGGTGAGACTGTTGTCAAGTTTACAAATAGAAATAGCCATTTGAAGTGAGGGCATTATAGAACTTTTTCCTAGATGACAATCGTGGTATTGGAGCGTTCCCACCAGAGGGGGGGGGGGGGGGGGGGGGGGAATTTTAAAATAAGACAAAGAATTAAGGAAGGACCAAGAAAGTTTTCTACGCACTTTATTATTTTTCTGGTTCAAAAATGTTTTATTCACAAGTTTTTAACTGGAGCGACAGTTTTCAAACTGTAATATATACAGTGGTGGTCATATAATAAGAAACACTTCTTATAAATAATGACAGCATAACAACTTCAACATACAAATGTTCGTAAAAAATATACACATTCAATAATTAATAATCATACTATAATATAACCACTCTATTAAAAAACTTATTAAATGTATAAAATATAAAACATATCTTACTTTTAATTACAAAACAGTCAATTACACATGTACGAATTTATTTTCTGTTACTGGCCGCTTGGACGCCTAATTAGAAACATTTTAGAAAAGAATCCAAAGCTTGTTCTTTTTTTGAAATTGGAGAATAACATTTCTTTCTTGGCTTTTTCTATTATTTTGGCGGCAATTCAAAATTTAATATGATTTTTATTTTGTTCAAAATGGGCAAAAATAAAAGTTGTGACGCGTCAACTAGGCAAATAGTTGTTAATTTACATTTAGATAATAAGAGGGCGTACAGAAGAATAGCTGAGTATTACAATTATTGTTCTGTTAAGAAAGTTTTTAATGCAATTGATCATTATAAAACACATGGAACTGTTGAAAATGTTTTTAGAAAGGCTCGGCAAGGAAAACACAAAACCTCTCCCAGAGGAGATACGCTGATCGTTCGTGTTGCTAAAAAAGACCCAGGTAAAGGCTCCATCCAGATTTAAAATAAAGTTTTTTCGCCTGATGGCCCAAGAAACATTTCGTCAAGACTGATACGCTGAAGATTAGTGGAAGCTAAATAGGGATAATGACTTTTTTTTTCTTCGTTTATCAGGTAGATTATCGAAAAGTATTGGACACGTATTTTTTCCTTTTTTTCACATAATATAAACATTGCAGAGATATATTGATTTGAAAAGTCGCATGACCCCTACTCCCAAACTTTGACGCGCTATAACTTTGTCATTTTTTGGTTGATTGCCCAAAGAAAAAATACGTGTCCATTATTTTTTGATCATCTAACTGACGGACTAAATAGAATTTCGTTTACTGTACGCCGTCATCACCCCTATTGTTTGGAAGTATCGCTCGAAAGGTACCGCTTCTTACCAAGCAACACCGAGAGAAGCGATTATTACCTATTCGCTAAAAAATATATTCCCTGTTGTTGGGCCACATCGATGTATGAATGGGCCATACCAAGATATGAATGGGCCACATCGACATATAAGTAGGCCACATCGAGATTTATGAACCATACCTGTCTCCTCTCCATGACCCATAGCGAGGTGTCGTCGCTGAACACGAGCGCGTCCCGCGTCGGGTGCGCGCATACTGAGCTCACGGCGCTGCGTCGCTCCGCCCACTCTTGAGCGAGAGCGTTATTAGGCCACTCTAAGAACTTCTTTTTCACCAAATCGTACTCGGTAATCTAAATATAATGAAAAAGATCGTTATTTAAAAAAAATGCTTTATTTATTTCCGAGGTTTATCGGACTATTCCTACTATATAAAAAAACATTGGTTTTTGAACAAAACTGGTTTCTCCACTTAACGAGTGAGTGTAAATAACCGTAAGTAAATTGCCAAGTTTAAAAAGCTTTCGTCGCTTTCCATCAATCGAGATTATAACCCCTCAAGCGGCTATATAACCTTTATGGCGTGGTGTATTGCAATTTAGCGTTTTGTGTCATTTTTTTTGTGGGTATTGTCTGTTGGTCGGAGGGGAAAGAATTAAAAGGTGTAAAAATTCTAAAATTCCAATTTCATTTACAAAATATTTAACTATTTTATTTACAGATAATATAGATTACCTTCTGGTCCACATAAACGACAACGAGGCTTTCGTGAGCGCAGTCCACTGTCAGAGCGGACGGTGTGCACTTGTAGGTCGGCAGCGTGACGTAATGTTCGAACTTGCGATTGCCCTTGGTCCAAACCGCGATAGCACCCTGTGTGTCCACCACCACTAAATAGACGGTCCCCGAGGACGTGCTATCTGATACCTGGAGGTGCAATATGGTATTCGACTTCAAATCTGAAAAAAGTTTGAATCATTATTAACGTAAATCACCATAAGACTACAGTTCACAATACTTGTGTACTGAAAATAAAATAAACAGATGCACTCAGAATGTGAAGTCAGCACTATAGCAGATGTAAAGGCGGTTGTTATCGGCTGTTCGAAAACGATTACACCCGCCTTTACATCTACAGTGCTGACTTCACATTCTGAGTGACTGGCTGACTCACTTTTTGTCGCTGAACAGCCATAAACAGCGGTTGTTTATGGTTGAAAACATTTAGTTGTGTTTTATTATATCCGTTTAATATTTGAAGTGTTTTTTTTATCTACATACTACCTAACCTACCTACTTACTTCATACGTGCGTTGTGGTACTAAGTGTCTCACAGACAGATGCGGCTTGAAGGCTTGTATTCGCTTGCAATGTAAACGAGTTTTGAAACACGGCAATGCAAAATAATTCATAAAATTGAACATTTTATGTTTTACACCATAAAAAAGAACAGTAAGTAGGTAGGTATTAATTTAGTAAAAATACCTATTTGTATATAGCGGCTCGTATCTTAATACAAATTGGAATCAAGAACTGTAAAAATTGGGTACGACTTTTTGGTATTGATTCGTATAAGCCGCCAGTTGTCAGCCACTGTTTAGACGTTATTTTATGTTTTTAAACCAATACAAGGTAGGAAATTATTAAGTAAAAATACTCATTCGTATATAACGGCTCGTATATTACAACAAATTAGTGTTGCCCAAATGCAAGAACAAGACGAGACTTAGCAAGTCTTGGTCTTGGTCTTGCGCCAATACACCTGGTCTTGGTCTTGCGCTCCCAGTCTTGGTCTTGGTCTTGGTCTTGCAGCAAGAGTCTTGCAAGTCTTGCAATTACCTATTAGACTATTGCTATTTATTAAAGTTTACTTCAGATCTTAGAAAAACGTATTAGAATTGGAACATTGTGAGCTTGAATTAACATAGCCATAGTAAAGACCAATCATAATCCCATATAATCAATATTATAATGTATACTTACTAGAATAAATTATTATGACATCTACTACCTATCCTTACCATTATTTAATCATAATACTACTTGCGTGATCAAGTATAATGTATTCGTTTCCATTCTAAGCACTCTGAAACTTATTTATTCTTTGGCACACCTGTACTCTAAAATTCGAAAATCGAAGTTCGTGTCGTACCGTCTCGCTAGCTCATATATTAAATAGTATTAGCGTGAGTGGGACGGCACGACACGAAATTAGAATTTTGCATGAGTATACCTAGGCCCTGTGGCGGCAATCAAATAGTGTCAAATGTTGTGATTTCGGCGCGGCGGCAACGATTGTTGTATGTGATTTCAATAGAAGCCGCCGACGCGTTTATCATCACCATGTACTTCCGAAAAGCAGCAAATTTCTTTGAGAAGTCAGTACGTAGAAAGTTCCGATGGTTAAAACAAAACTATGCATACACTCTGTTTGATTTTAATGGATATTTTTTTATTCGCTATGTATGTTTATGGTATTGGTCGTAATGCGCATAGGTCCAGTTTTCTCACCTTTTAAAACTTTCCTAGACCTCCACGAATATTTCAAGACCAAGGTATGATAAATCCGTTCAGCCGTTCTCGAGTTTTAGAAAGACTAACAAACAACATTTGACGATTTTGATTTTATATTTATAGATAGAAGATAGATAACTTACATTTATAGATAGGTATGGTATGGTTTTGGGCTATGGCTCCCACTTGCGGGTCCAACTGTAAGACTAGCAGACGGTCCTCGCACGTGATCAACGCAAGGCTGGAGTCTGCTGTGAACGCGACGCGATCACAGGACGCCGGCGCACCGCTCACCGGCATCTTCGATAGCGTAGTATTCGATTTGTCCTCATCCTAGTGAATTATGTTGATATTATGTTATCTACTTCACCTACTTAATGTAGGAAATTTTGGACACACACATGGATATTGGCCAAATCCCAAGGGAGCCATCATTGAAGAAATCTTGTACTTCCTTTTGTCAGTGTTTCGCGTCTAACTAACTAAAGTAATACTTTGTTGCTAAGTAACCAAATAATGATTTGGTTGACACTAGAATTCTTCAATAGAATTTTTTATTTTATAAAACAAGTAAAATATATCACTAACATAAGCAAATTAAGTAGGAGTCTATTCGTACTAGTACTTTAATATGAGTAATAATAGTGACTTTACTTAGCTATAAATTCTTAATTTTGACAGTTCTTACTTTTCTAAATATCTTAACTACGAAATAAAAAATGTTTCTCAAGCAATTATTTAAGCAGTGTAATGTCATATTATTTTTTATAAATAGGACGGTAAGATTCTGTCAGCGACAAATATCTTGGTTGTAATCTCCAGTGCCGAGGAATTCATCACACTTTTCCAAGTCATACAAAAGGGCTGCAATAATGGGTAGCTTAAGCTGGTATCCAACGGCCCATTGACTGACAGGCCGATTTAGCCATACCTAAGGTAGACCCACGGCTAGCAAGTAAGTTTTGCAAGTTACCAAGACATGCTCTGAAACAAATAGTGAGTATTCTCACAGGACACGGACACTTTAATAAACATCTGTTTAAAATAGGTGTCTCGGACAGTCCTCTGTGCAGAGCCTGCATGGAGGAAGAGGAGACGAGCACTCACGTCCTGCTGCAGTGCAGAGGCGTGACCAGACATCGAATGACACACCTGGGCAGCCCGCAGACGCTACTCGAGGCCTGCGGCGACATCAGGAGACTGCTGAGCTTCTTGGGGGAGCTGGGATGGCACGACTAAGGCCATCCTCACACGCAAAATAGGCACCTGGTGTCGAGTTGCGGAAAACACCCACCGTGAAGAAGAAGAAGAAGAAGAAGACAGGCCGAGCCAAGAATTGCTTCTACACCAATCGGAAAATACACACTCTTAGGACTCTAAAAAATATTACAATAGTGAGACTTACTGTTTCTAGCTTTAACATTCTGATAGCACTATCTGTAGAATAAATGATAAATTCTCCATTTGGTGAAAGTCCACAACATCTTATCTGTTTATCGTCTTTAGTTTTTACCAACACCAATTTGACTGGCTTGTCTACTATTGTTAAGCTCTGACTTTTACTTTGTTTTTTATTTGCTTTTTCTAAAATTGCAATTGCTGTGTCCTGTTCTATTTGTTCATTGCTATCTTTAACCATACTATTTGAAAAATTACTTGGATTGCTAAAAACAACTTTTCCACTTTCATTTGTAGCATAGGAACCTAATTTCCATACTTCTAAATGATTCTTATATCTGAAATTTAGTAATAATAATAATAAATCCATTTATTTCAGACAACATACACCAAAAATGAAGAGCAACGAATAGAAAATTCATTTATGTTTTATATATGATTGATAGCAAAGTAATCTTTTATTTTATTATATTTACCTTAATAGAATCATCTTTTTCCTTGCAGATATAGAGGATCTAGGTGCTGGAATCATTGGTGGAACTCTCATAACCCATTTTGGTGGGTAGCTAGATAATGTGAGATAACCATCGGCTCCAACAGAAACAAGCCTATCACCATTAAGAACTAAGCATCTAAAAAGTACAAAGTTTTAAACATTTTGACTTAGTTAAATCACAAAATAAAATATCCTAAAGGATAAAAAGGATATTTTATCACAAAATAAAATATCCTTTTTATCCTAATCAAGCACAACAAAATCTTTGTTGGATATTATTATATTAAGATTATGAATACATTACCTAACATCATGTTCATGTATATGTCTTTGCACATTTTTCACCCACTGTAGGCAAGATTGTTTATTATTATTGTTGTTTACTTTGATGAAGTTAACAATCACAGGGTCTACTCCACTGCAGTACAAACTCTTCTCGTCATCAGTCACAACTATTGATAATATATCAGCTTTATGTGTTGTGTAGGATTCAATCTGAAAGTTAAGGGAGGTTTTAAATGTGTCTCGATCAAGAAAACCTTATTTGTGAAATGGGTGTCTTTCATCAATAATTATACTTGTTCTCCAAGAATTCCATCCCAAAATGTGAGCCTCCCTAGGCTATCACCTGATACAACCAGATTATCTGACAGTACTGCCAAACTCCACACTATTGTTTCCTTGCCACGTCGACTAGCCAACATTCGACATGTAACATGACCTGTCTCCACATTCCAAACTCTTATAGTATTAATAGAACCTAGAGAGAAACAAATAATGACACACTGGGTTAAAAAAAAAAATCAGGCCTAATAATACTACAGTAATATTAAATAAATTACCTGTCACTAGCACATTGCCTGCCTTATCAAATTTGCAACACATTATTCTGCCCTCTTGCTTGTCAAACAACTTCCTGTAGGTAATTTCATCATGTTCAACACTATAAAGATTAATATAACCTTGTTCCGTACCAACAGCAACTAGAGTATTTGATGAATTAACATCGAGACACCAAGCCGCATGCCCCGTAAGGAGCACTGTGGTCTTTTTATTCAATTTTTGGAGATCCCATTCTACTAAGGCGCCACCCAGTCCTGTCGACAGCAACCTGTCACAAACCCAACCTAGAGCCTCAATAGAACTATTCTCAACACCGGGTATAAACTTTACCAAATAAGGCGCAAAACACAGATCCCAGATCTCGATGGAAGCATCCGCTCTGTAATAATAAAAACAGAATTTTCGTACAAGATTCACTAGTCAGATCTTATTGATTATTGTTAAACTTCAAGACTAACCTCGCAAGAGCAATTTGTTTACTGGTTTTGTTGTATGAAACACAATTTATCGAATCGGGCTTTGGGTTGTAATAACGCACTTTATGTACTTTAGTCGCCATTTCCGTTAATTACTTTGTGTGAACAGTTATTCCAAGCTTTTTAAATCCCCATACCACATGTAAACCAAAATCAAAACACAGGCCTGCGTTCCAAAGCTACGCTGCAGGCGCCAGACAAATGTTAATATGTTATTGACATACGTTTCATACATTTGATGTCATAAATTAAGACATCACAGTGAAAAGTTGTACTCGTAGTGTTGTTTTGGAACGTAGCCTTGGGATACGTTCTAAAACTACGGTCTTGGAGCAATGTCAAAATTGACATTTGGTTCATACATTAAATGTCAAAGCTGTGTTCAGAGCACAAAGTTTTTATAAGGTTTTAAGTTTTAAGCACTGATGCCAGATTGGGGGGTTCTCCCCAAATTTGGGGGGTTTTTAGATAGAGATAGATAAAACTTTATTCACACCAACATGCACACATACAAAATTTAATACAAATTTTACAATTATATAAATCCTTTAAAAATATAACAAATTATATTTATACAATAATACTGATATTTTCGTGTGCAGCAGCGATACAAATGGGCGAAAACTCAGCGTAACATTTACTCCGAGAGTAAATCCCTGATTTTCAGTTCTGACCCTTATAGATGAGGTCACGCAATTAAATGTCAGATTAAGCCTGGGGACACCAGAACCGTAGTGATGATTAAAAGTAGAATACTTTAGTTTATAATATAAATGTTCAGGATTCTTATATTTCACTACATTGAACATGAGCATGGCAAGATGCAAATGCCTACGCGACTCCATGTTTAGCATACAAGCATTATTTAGGTATGGTGATACATGCGTACGTGGAGGAATATGGAAGCAAAAGCGGGCACAAGCATTTTGCACACGCTGTATAATTTTCCTTGTTCTGTACAACAAGCGCGGACCATAGACCAAGTTACCATAGTTGAGCCTTGATAGGATCAGCAATTCACAGAGCGCAATTCGGGACTTTTCAGATAAAAAACTACGAACTTTATACAAAACTTTTAAAGATAAAAGCAGTTTTTTACTAGATTAAGCACATCACTTTCAAAATGCAATCGACTGTCAAATGTTATTCCCAGGTTTCTTGTCTCTTGAACACGTTCAACATTTGTGCCCAGAACTTGAACAACGGGTGGATCACGTAAAATGTTTTCGGTTTGCTTTTTGGAACCTATTAGCATACACTTCGATTTGGACGGATTCAGTACGAGAGCATTGTCTTTAGACCAGGAAGCTATAGAATTCAAATCTTCGTTTAATTTGCTGACCGCCTGAGATATTTTAGCAGGTTTTTCGGAGATATATAGCTGAACATCATCTGCATAGAAGTGAAATTTACAGTTTTTGATTACTTTTGACAGATCCGCACTGTATATAATGAAAAGAAGCGGTCCAAGTATTGAACCCTGATTGACACCACGTGACATCGGTTTTGATTCAGAAGTAAGGAAAGATCCATTCTCCCTACGAAGACGTACCGCTTGGTTCCGGTCACTAAAGTAGGTACTGAACCATTTAACCGAGTGAGGTTCAAAACCGTAAAAAGTTAATTTTGCAAGTAGTAATGGAACGTTTAAGCAATCAAATGCACGAGAAAAATCCAGCAGAGCCAGCATAGTACTTCTTCCTGCGTCCTGTTCAGCTAATATATTATCTGTAACATCGAGTAAAGATGTAACGGTACCACGACCCTTAAGAAACCCCGATTGAAAAATTGGTAAAATTTCATTATCTTCAACGTATTTAATTAATTGACTATATACAGCCTTTTCCAAGATTTTTGATAAAAAAGTTAAAATACTAATAGGTCTAAGGTCTTTAAGCTCAGCCGGAGGTTCAATTTTAGGGATTGGCATTATTAGTGCTGACTTCCACTGATGAGGTACCACACCTGTGATTAAAGATTTGTTTACTATATCCGTAATAACTGATAGTGTCCTTGGAAGTGTGAGCAAAATCATGTCCCTGCTTATACCATCACTGCCAACAGCATTAGATTTTATAGATAAAAAGTATATGGAAACGTCACTTTCAGTGACAGTATGTAGTTTAAAAGGAGATTTTGTAGTATCAAATCTGTGTCTTTGAAAATAAGAGAGCAGCGAAGTATCAATTTGGTCTGACCCAGGCGTTTTCAAAAAGTGATCATTGATTACGTTTGGATCACTAAAGCAATCTGGAAGGTAGTCACTCTTAGTATCGGGCAGAACCTTGAAGTTTCTCCAAAACGTTTTGCTATCACTATTATTTGAATTAATATAGTGGTCTTATTAAGCTCGCTTCTCATTATTAATACTTGTTGACACCAAAGTTTTGAGATCCCTATAATATTGTTTGTGTATATCGTGTTTGGACTCACGATATGTTTTATGAGCTTCATTACGCAAATTAATCATAAGCTTTATCGTTTCCGTTATCCAAGGTAGGGATTGGTTAGTTTTAAATTTAGCTGTTTTCAGCGGAGCGTGTTTGTTAAAAAGTGACAAAAGAAGCAGGTTAAAACATTCAACCATACGCTCCACTCTAGATAAAGCAGAAACAGAATCCCAGTCCATAGCATAAAGATCCTCACTAAATTTTGTCATATTGATCTTATTAAGTGGTCTAGAGGTGATAACACGAGGCGGAACTTTACTTTTCTTCAACGGGATACTGTAATTTATCATTGAATGACCTAAGTTTCCGGTAATATTTGTGACCGTTAGATTACGAGCACCACAGTTAGTGCAGACAAGATCAATTAACGTGTTAGTATCAACGGATGAATGTGTAGGCTCTTTTACAAACTGCTTAAGGTCCAAAGTGTATAAAAACTCATTAACCCTTGAGACATACTTACTGGCCGTATTAAGCATATTGACATTAAAATCCCCCATAACGATGACATAATCGTGATTGGAAAAGCTTGTAATGGACTCGGTCAATACGTCAAAAAACAAATCTAGACCAAGCCGTTGTGGCCTGTATGCTGTACCAATAAGAACTCGACAACCATTTAATTGAGTCGACAGCCACATCTGCTCAATCTGACTATTGGGTTGCCTCAAATATCTCAGACGCATATTCCGATATGTTTTAAAGCGATGGGGGGATTTATGGGGGGAAGAAATTTGGGTTTGAGGGAAATGGGGGTTTTTTAATTCCATTTTTTATATAAAAATAAAATCACTTTATAAAAGTTTAATCTGTAAAAAGTCGCGATCAACAGTCAATCAACAGTCTCTATTTCTCATTCGGTATAGAGCATGACAAGGATCTAAACTGTTGTCAAATTTAATTTTATTAGGCTTAGAAAATCATGTAAGAATCAGGCCGACTGAACTGTGTTTATTCAGTGAGCCCGATTCGGACCCCTAAATCCAAAGCCCACTTAAAAAAGTACACTTCAGTCAGCTTCAGTCCATTCCGCCTAGCTCAGTCGCTCGGTCAGTCAAGTTCATGTCAAGTCAAGCAAATCAGTTAGTCGGTTAATGGTCGTTAAAGCGCCTACTGACATGCCTGCCGCAGGGACAATCAAGGGTGTAAGAGTGCGGATGACCCTAAATTGCCACCTGAATTGTGATATGTGTAGGCAAGTTGGGGCAATTTTCTAAATCGGGCCTGCGGCAGGGCGGCAGGAGCGCGTGACCACCCTTGCTTCCTAGATTGTCCCAACCGCCCTGCACGTTACCGCATGTGTAGCGCGATTCTGGCAATTTGTCAATCAGTCGGTTAGCAGCTGTCATACGCAGCGCACGTATTTTGATCAAGATGGCGGCAGATCATAATGAGCATGAAGTTTGGACACGAGTGATCGAAGTTTATAAAGACCGGCCCCACATGTGGGATAGAAACAACAAACATTATTTATATATTATTTTTAATTAATTTTCATTTTTTAAGTTTGTGTCTGCTCGATGTTTAAATCTAAAGAAAATATTACCAGAAAAATAGAAACACATATTTTTTTTTGTAATATTTTCTTTACATTCAAACGTTGAGCAGTTACATGCTTAAAAATTTAAATTATGACTCTAATTGCTATTTCTTCTTTTAAATGTTTAATACTTGTAAAGGTATTCGACATTGTGGGTTACACATAATGCGAAGAGATGGCGCTGCCTTGCAGCTTAAGAAAGGCTAATAAGAATTCGATACGGCCGTCAGGGTCGCGGTAGCATAACTGATCAGTGCATTCGCCTGGATAGCGAAAGGTGCGGGTTCTAGTCCCGTCTGCTGCCAGATCCGCGTGGATTTTTTTCTAATAACATAAACATTACTTATTTACAATACCTACATTTCTTTCTGTTGCCAATTCTTCACCCAGTATTTCCTTTTTTACGGTAACATATTTTTTAATAACACTGGGACCATCATCAACACGTGTGTTTAGCTCAACATACAGTTTGTCTATAAAGTCGTAACATTAAATGATGGCGCCACTAAGTAGTATGCATGTAGCAACCCTGTACAGTCTGACCAAAATGATTTTGATACTAGCAGTTTATTCTAGTAAAATAGGTAATTAATAAGACACACTGTACAGTCGTATTTTGTTTCTGTTTTATATATAGTGGGTACCTATGCTTATAAAAAGTTTAGCCAAGCATATTTAATTGAATCAGAATAAAATTATTATAGATAAAATAGTACTTTATAGTGTAAAAGTGTGTAATGTTGGTGATTACCGCTGAGGTGCCATTGAGACTAGAGCCGTTAGGTAATCATCAATATATACAAGTATCATCATACGACGTTTTTTAACACACTTGTTAAGAAAATAATACTAAAAATCATATTATAGTATATAAAAAGTTTATTTAGAGAAACAATTTGTAAATGTGCAGTTAGTAAAATTAGTGATAGGTATCTTCACTAAAAGCATCTGGCCATGGTTCTTTATGTGACTATTTCTTTCTTTGGTCGGCCTTACCTGTTTTCCCAGGAGTTTCAAACTTTCCATCATTCTTAAAACCTTCGTTGACTATCCGACTCTCTGATTTTCCTGAAAAAAGGTAAAAAAATATGTAACGGAATAGAAACAATAACTTATTGACATGAAGCAATTAATTCAAAATTGGTAGAAAACCTGACCGAGTTGAACCATAATAACGTATCAAAAGAAATGGTCGTACTACAATATTACCTATTTACAATGTCAATGTAACCTAAAAATGTGCAATGTAAACAATGCCTTTTTTGGTCTCAAAATCGTAAATTGATTATATTTCAGGCAGACTACAAACAAATAGTTACATGATTACATACCCGTCATAGATGCTGTTCGCCCATAAACATCATCCAAATCCCACAAAATTCGTCCAGCTTGATAGTCTTCGAAACATCGCTGGAAAACTTTAAAAATCACTTCCCGCGTGCCACTCCGATTTACTTTACTCATTTTTATAGCTTTCTGCGTAGTTTCGTCTTAATTTATTACAGTTTAATCCAAACAATAAAAAATACAAAAGGAAAACTGTTCCACAACTGAAACTCGATGACAGCTGATGTACATAAGTTTGGTGTTGCCAGACACATGAATAATGTTAGTTCCTCAAACATTCATATCACGACTTTATAGACAAACTATACGCCCGAACACTGAATAGCAGGCATGTGTGTAGAGACAAGCCGATATTGGCCCGACCGCCGTGCACCCTAGATTGTCCCTGCGGCAGGCATGTCAGTAGACGCTTTTAGCTTGAACTGCAAATCGATTCGATACTATCTATCATCATCTTTGCTCTGCTAAATCGTAATTTGCCAATTTGTCCTTTTAATTCTTTGCACCTTGGTTAGATAATAGCACTGCACTATCAAAACAAAGTTATGTAACAAGATTAAAGCCAGGAATATAGTAACGTGTCGTGTCTATAGATGTAAGGCCGGTTTAAAACCAATAAAACCAGTCCGTTTAAAACGAAAAAAACCGCTTAAAACCGAAATAAACCATTTATTTCAATTTAAAACGGTTGGTGTTGATGACTATGTTGTTCTTAATTATAACTACATAGTCTAGATTTTAACGAGGTAGAATTATAACGGAGTACCTATAAACTTTATAAAGATTTTTTAAATGTGTTATATACTTACTGATATTGATATACTTAGCGAGTTAAGTTCTAGTTGGTCCATCCGCGACCAAGCGTAGGTATTACCTACCTAAGTTATAAAAACTCTTATCATGAGTTAAAAACTCTGTTGGTAAATAAAAAAAAATCATTGTTGAAGTGTAAAAACCATAGTTCTTTTATTTTTGTATGCCAGTTTTCAACTGTTTAAAACAATTTATTTGGGGTTTAAAACGGCAAGATTTTGTTTAAAACGTTTTAAATCGGTTGTTTTACATCTATAGTCGTGTCGTATCGTGGTGCACCAGCAGCACATCAGCTTCATGCATTTACTATGGTTAGAGACATTTTTACGTGTCATGTCGTTTCGACGCTCTACTAACCCATAATAAATGTATGAAACCGATGCATCACGACCACGTTACGACACGCCACGACGCGTTAATATGTTTCTGGCTTAAGGAGTGGGAAAGACGACGAGTGCGAAGATTTTGATCCAGTAATGCAGGGTTGCCAGGTCTCCCGATTTCACAGATCTCCTGTTTTTCTGAAATTTCTCTTGTTCTTCTGTTTTTCCACATGAATCTATTGTTTTTCTTAGAATACAATTTTCGTTTTTGAAAAACAGCTGCAATCGATCTTAAAGACACCAGGTTTACTACGAAAGGTTTCACAATACCTACGGTCACCTAAAGACAACTTCTCCTTGGAGAAACCTGGTGTCTATAAGATCGATTGCAGCTGTAGCAGTTCGTACATTGGCCAAACTAAGCGAACAGTAGCATGCCAAATGAGGGAACACATTAAAGCAATCAAGAACAACGATACGCAGAAATCAGCCATCGCGGGACATTTGATTGATCCGGGTCCTAACCACTGGATTGAGTTCCATAACCCACAGATTATCTCGACAGAACGCCACTATATACCAAGATTGGTCAGGGAAGCGATTGAAATAAAAATTACAATCGTGAGGATGTGTTTAAATTGTCAAGTGTCTGGAATCCTGTGGTCCTTATGTGTAAAAACCGGTATAATTAAAAAACCTACTGTAAGTGTTGTGTGTCGGGAACAGTTTCGAGTGAATAGTGAGAATGTGAACAGTGGTACAGGTATCGAACGCAATAAAATACTTTGTCGGAGGGTAGACCAATATGTCTGCCAATAACAGCTTACCTGCAATTACTTTAATTACTCCGTGATCATGGCGCTTGCAACAGTGCCGAAATATCGGAAACTCGCTAAAAACAAGGTACTTGGTAACATATATTACTATAATGTTATACCCGTTAATAACATATATTACTATAATGCTAGTGACCACGAAAGTTTAAAAAAAATATATGCTTTGAGTATTTATTAAATACTCAAAGCATATATTGTTTTAAATTATTATTAAATACTCAAAGGAATATTTCCTCTACATAGCTATATTTTTGAGTATTTTGTATGATGCTTTGGTATTTTCATAAAATCTTTTCTGGTCACACTGTAATGCCAGCATTTCACTTGGCTATTTATATAAGCTATTTGTAAACTTGATATACCTATGTCTTTCCTTTTCATTTCTTATAAAGTAAGATAAAGACAGACTGTGGTGTCGATTCTGGCAGGATTCTTTAAACTTAAAACTAAATTTAACATCAGTCTGTCCTTTTTACTCTGTGTAGAGAATGACAAGGATACACTGTTGTCAAATTTAAGTTTAGGTTTAGAGAATTATACCGAAATCGACACCAGTGTCAAGTTTATAATATTAAATACGTATTCTCAAGTACCGACACAAACTTGATGGATTAGATAATGGTGTCGATTCTGGCATGATTCTCTTAAGCTAAACTTAAATTTGACAATAGTGTTACTCAGTCATTCTCTATACAGACTGAAAAGGACAGACTGATGTCAAATTAAGTTTTAAGTTTAGAGAATCCTGCCAGAATCGGCACCATTATCTTTATTTCTGTCTACGGTACGGTACTTATGGTACCTTCGACCTGAGTACGTACCTACAACAAAAAATATTTTTATTCAAAAATCCTTAGACACAATCAAATAGCAATAAGTAGCGCTTATTATTTTAAATTGTGTCTACAATGGGCGACGGCCAGCAGAGTGAAAATCAGCCTTTGCTGAGGGATGGTAAGTGAACAATTATTTTACTATGACAGCTGATGATTCAACCAAAACGTATTTTGTATTATTTTGTTGCTAAACAAATGGATGTTGCCGACCGATATAGTTCAATCTTGATAAATAAATAAGTTGTTATGCTACATATGTTAGAATTGCGTTACTCGGTGTAAATTATTTATTGTTTGAGAACTCGCATATTTGGTGTTTTTCTCCATCAGAAGAGGTGAATGTTAGCACGATATCTCCAATCGGACCTGATGAGTTACCACCTCCGTACGTGCAAGTAGGGTGGCCCATGGTAACATGTCGAGTATGCCACGAAATGATAGACATCTCTGGAAAAAGAGAACAACATGTTGTGAAATGTCCTGCATGTAATGAAGCTACGGTAAGTCTATTAAATTTATACTTACATAAGAAGGATTTTGTAATAAGCAAGTTTGTATTATGCCGTACCTACTCATCAATGATCAAAACTAAACCAATTGAGTACAAAACAAATAAACAAAAGCTATTTCAATGTTCCTAGGACACCAGTATCTCCATACATTTCATTGAATTTAGGCTTGCAACATTTTGTATTAAATCACAAGGTTTTATTTTTCTTAGCTTATGATAATTCCTTGTGCTGCTAATGTGTAACTTCTACTTACAACAATATCTGAAAACAAATTTGAAAAACAATATTTTATCAATATCTATACAAAATAAACATTGTTATTGATATGCTAACATGCCATTTAAATATATATTGTCTTAGTTATTTAAGTTATCTCAAAAATTGAGGCTAGCAAGATAACATTACAGACATGAAATTATAAGTAAGAAAGACAATAACTTGTTTATATGTTGTATATTAATAAAAAGATCAAATTAATGGTAAACTTGGGGAAGTATTCTGAAACATGTCTTGGAAGATGTATGTGTTGATTTCTCCAACATATGCTTTTGAGTAAATTTATACACTTTTATATCTATGGCTATGATACCCAGTTATGATAACTAATGTGAATAATAAAATAATAATACTAGGATTTAGGTCAGTTTAAAAAACAAACAATAATATTTTCTCATCATATTTTCTATTTAGTTACTACAAAAATGCTTACATAATATTTAATAAATTTCATTTTAATATTTGAAATGGAAGATCAATTTAAGATGCTGCCTTGTCTCTGGAAGTTCTCTGAATATGAATATTATAGCTCAGACTCAGTAACCTTCATAGTAAAGAAAAGATCTAGAAATAAGATATTTATTTGAATATATTTACTGTCTCAACAGCCAATTAGGAATGCCCCACCAGGAAAGAAGTATGTGCGTTGCCCATGCAATTGCCTTTTGATCTGCAAGTCATCGTCTCAGCGCATCGCATGCCCACGGGCCAACTGCAAGCGTATTATCAACCTTGCTCCATCACCGGTTACACCACCTGTGCCAACACTGCCTGGCATGTGCAGAGTTGTCTGTGCACATTGTCAGGACACTTTTCTTGTAAGTTTTTGAAGCAATTATTATAGTACTTATTTCATTTAAAAAACCAGCCTTATTGTGCTAAAATCAGCTATTTATGGATAGCACAATAGTTATAATAAAAAAACAGAAGTGACACTTGCTTGCTTTTCATTGTTTGTTTATGAATATTTTTGAAAATTCCTCATTCCAGTTATTTATTTGAATGTTCATGTCATATAAACATACAATAAAAAGTAGAAAACATACATAATAGAATAAATAAATCAAGAAGCAGTTTAATGCTTACTATGCTATTAGTCACTGGGTCATTGACCTTATAACAAGTTCATTGTGTTTTTTTATTAAGAATCAAACTTATAATGGAACTATCTAATTAATGATATTTTTGTGATAGTTTAGAGACCGAGAGAGACTGTTTAGCATTATAGATTTTATATTCTTTGCTTAATCATTTTACAGTAACACATTTACAGTTTGTATTTCCATAAACTTGAAATGGGATAATTTATATTGTTGTTACTAATGTCAGAAAGTAAGATTAAAGAAATAAGCCTTTAATTTAATCTTTAAAATGAATACCCTCAAAGTAATCATTGTGCAAAGAAACATAAAATTACTTTAAATTTTTTTGCATTAAAATATGCTTTTAATAAAAATAGTCTTTCTCACTATTATTACTAATCGCTTTTTTTATCGTATGTATGTACCTACGTCTACTTATTTATTACTAGTATGCTTGCCATAAATAATAAAAAAAGATATTTAAAGCACCTTAATTTACTGAAAGTTGGCCCAATCTCCCTATTCCATCCAAGGAGATGGCCTGTGCCTCTGAGGTGGGGATATAAATAGGCTGATGATTATGTTTGTACCTAACCTTTCTTTATTGTAAACATTATAACAACCAACGAACGTATATTTATTTTCCAGTACCAAATGTTGAAGAATGCGCCGGTGCGTTGCCCGCATTGTCGTAAAGTATCATCAGTGGGGCAGCGCATGGCCCGCGTCCGTGGTATCGTGTTCGCGGTACTCGCGCTAATATTCTTCGCGATCGCGTTGGGAGTGACTCTCGGTACTCTGTCGGCGGCAAAGAGTCACGGTGCTGGTATATACGTAGCGTATGTTGGAGCTTTTCTGGTCGCTTTCTTGCTTGCGAGCCGAGCCGTTTTCTACTTCGCTATGAAAGTGAGCTATATCGAAGGCCCCATGTAACCCGGATGCCGCGTATAGATTTGTGATAAAATTTGTATGATTGACTAGGAAATAAAGATTTCTCGATTCCATATTATAACTAGCGTTATAGCAGTTTGGTTTTTATACTGAACTAGTGTATAGTATATATGTTCATTAATATACCGATAATGATTGAGAGTTAGTAGGTATTAATGTTATATCAGAGCGCTAGGCGTGAGTTTTCACCTTATACTCGATCGCGATTGCGTAAACGTGAAATAGTATGGCATTTAAGAAACGTCATTTGATGGAATACGCAGCGTATTGTGGCTGACTTTAATAAGATATGGTAAAGGACGTTTACGTAAGGCAATCTAGTTTAGATTTTAATACTCACATAGAGCACACAGAATATTGAATCCATGGTAAGGCAGGTATAAGTTGTCTGGTTCAACTTTAATTTGAAGGAATATTTCCATAATACATCAAATATAGACTCATTGTAATCTAAAAAAAATTTTACTAGAATACATTATGTGGATTTTTTTAATAGTGACTTTTTTTAGATTCATAAATCGAGCAGTTTAATGCTTTTAATAAAAATATAATAGACATGTCATATTTGTATTTAAGTTAAGGATTTCTTGACTTAATAAATAGAGTAAATAGTTTATATTCAAATGTGCTGTTTTTAATTTTGTAATGTATCAAATCCGATCATTTACTTTAAGTACTATGTTCTATAGATAAATTGAGCTAGTAATTTGGCCATCAAATGAAAATAGTATAACCACAACATTCTCTTGATAAAGAAACAACAGCTGGTGAACATAGAGATATTTTTTACTAAACAATAATTTGAATTTTTCCTGTTATTATCATATTTTTGTTTGCATTATATAAGATTACATTAAAATCATTTTAAAATTCACGAACTACTTAACTTTTGCCAGACTACTCTTATTGTAATGGAATGAATAAGGTATACACATGATAATGTCAACTTTGCATACAAACTTTTATGTTTAACCACAGCTACCTATTTCAGAAACTGATCTTTCTGAATAATTTACAAAGCAATCTTATTATGACATTTATTTAAACTGTCTGTACAGTGACCGTAAATACTTTATTTGGGGTCAGTTCTCCGAATGGACAGAACAGTGGCGAGGCGATCTCATTCGTTAATAGTGGAAACAATCCAATTCTTTTCTAATTCTATTTGTCATAAAGCATAAGGTTGAATCAGCCAGTTGTTACTATTCTCGACGGTTTGAACTGCTGTTACTATGTGTTAACTGCATATTCAGCTTTAAGTCAGTTGTAATTGGGTTGATTAAATTTTGTTATTGGATTAACCGCTTTGATGCCACTCTTGAGTTGTAAAGTTACCTCATTCAGCCGCAACCACTGTAATGAAATTAACAAAAAGGTGTCATAGACATATTGTATGTAGGTATCTAAAAACACAATGCTAATTGAATTCGGCTCTATTGTATTACACAGAAGTCCTTAAATCAAAAAGCACAGTATACCTTAACAGAACAAAGGTAGGGATCAAATATTTTAAGTATTTGTATTTTCTTTAAATTAAATCAAACAGTGTTATGTTATAAACTATTATTTTTTTTAATAAAAAATGCTTATAAAATTGAGTCATACGGCATAAAGTCAAATAAGTATCTACATTATTGCGTATCAGAAATCATAATAGAGCCCTTTATTTCAATTAAATAGCACCATACTTTGTTCTCATTTTAATGAACTGTACTAAATAGTTACAGAAATGTGCCTGTTTACTGCTTTGGTGTTTTTGTGTATGGCGGCCAAATGTGAGCCTAATATTGTTTGAATGAAAGAAACCTATTATGGTAGAAGAATGCCCTATGAAACCCTGCGCCATAAAAAAAATCGCACCAATTTTTATTCAATTTTAACATAAAATACATAATTATTAAAAAATATGGGATAGATTGGTTATTTTTTAGTTAAACAATTTAAATCAAAAACTGCTACTTTTGGTTTTACTGAATATGATATGGAAATCGTACAGCTAACTAACTCTATTCCTTGCTTTCGTCTTAAATGAAATTGATGATCAGTACTGAATGAAAATATATTAACCGAATCCATTGTGCACCTACTTCGTATTGAAATATTAATACGCGACTCTTTTACTGAGATCAGAAATAGTATGATATTATTTGTGAATTACTTATTTGAGTAAAATTTACGACTTGCCGCCGTTGTCAGTATACTTTAAAGAATGTCAGGGTAATAAAAGTTTCTAAGCAAAAATCACTCGTAGGGCGCTTTCAATTTATGCGTTTCTTGACGGCCTACTGCGGTGCCGAAGCGGTACGTTTGTCATACAGCGTACGGACGATCTGACCGACGACGACTGCAAACGCTCGACAACAGGACTGTTGCCGCACCGCGCGTTTTGTGTGAAAAAAAAGGATCGTCCGTACGCTGTACGACAAACGCACCGCTTCGGCACCGCAGCAGGCCGTCAAGAAACGCATAAATTGAAAGCGCCCTTATAGCATAAATAATTATAGCTAGCAATTCTCATAGCTATTCGTGTTCGCTATTTGTATATTTGACAATGATGTATGGTGACCATACATTCATCAATCTTTCACATTGCATTGTCTGATCTTCAATTTCATTTGAATACTGATTAATACATAGACTAATAAGGAAAATCCTTCTAGAAATGATCGCCGTAGTCATTGCTTAGAATAAATTAATATTTTTTAAACTTTTTTATATTTCAGAAATAAAATACTCAACTCTTTTGTTAGTTTTGTTAGCAGCAGCAAATCGCGCACTATCCGATCAGTTAATAAAACTTTACCCAATGTAAAAATTATAACTAACTTTATTTCTATTGTACTAAGTTATACCCGGTTAACTTTGTTCGAGTAGCATCGCAGTCCAGCGATTGAATCCAACGCCGGAATGCTACTGAAATAATGTGGACACACATTGGAATGTTACCAGAATGGTATGGTATGAATTGAGTAATCCTGTTAGCTTAAGAAACAGATATCGCGGTTCGTAATTCAAAAATTTGCCGTTCACTAGTTTTTTTACAAATTTAGGTTAGGCCATATGAAGCATAAGTTTAAAATTCAGGTAATGTAGGATGGTCAGGTCACCTTAATGGAAAACGCTTTTAACGATATCCGAAATTATTCACTTTCCTGAAAAAATTGAGAGTGATTTTTTGTTTATTATTAAATTCCCTAACTTTTTTGTCTAAATCTTTTTATTGTAACTTACCGTTTTTCATTTATTTGAACTTTATTTATTTGAACATGTTTGTAGTCTTTCCTTATTAAATCAAGAATGTCATTAATAGCTGGGCTCCATTCCAGTGCCACTGTAATAGTCCAGTCCAGTGATTGGATTGACGGTCTATTTTTCATTCCAGCTCACCCTTTCCAGCGCCACTGGAGTGAACTGGAATGAAAAATAGACCGTCAATCCAGTCACTGGACTGGTGTAGTCTGCCATTCCAGTACTGGATCGAATTTTAAGAGTGAAAATTTTCAAACTGCTTCTTTGTATCATTGTTGCTATAGTGTTACTAGTTCGACAGTTTTTAAAAGACCGGAATAATATGAACGATATTATCCAATCCACCACAGGACTGGATTGATTCGCTGGATTACTGGACTGGAATATTGCGAACCGTGCATAAGGTTTAAATATCAATTTGATCGTGCGCGAATTATTATAGAATTGATCTGTTTTTTGTTTTAAAACTTATAATTGCAAGCCTTTGTAATTTATTGTGCCCTCTTGTGATTTATTATTTAGAACATATCCATGAGTTTTTATAAGGTTTATCAGAATTAGTATTTAATTGGCATAAGGTTATAGTTTTACATGCATAGGAAAATTAACACAAAAATAGCTAAATTAATTTAAAATATAAGTTAAGTACTGAAATATAATTTGCACTATCTCGCACCATTTAAAAACCCGCATAAATTAATACAATGTCGGTTCCCTATAAAACTACAAAATGTCTATAGCTTTTGATGGTATCTTATTATCTGCTGGGAAATGTTAGAAGCTGGCATATCATTTTATATATTTTGATGTTATTACTCCTAGTCCATGGGAGAATGATGCTTTTAATTTTGGATTTATTTTTACTTCGAACTATTTGATGTTATAATTATTATGAAAGCTAAGCAGCATTTATACGCAAGTGGCCGGTATGCAAATTAAAGAGTGTCATGTCTATGAAACATTATGTTAATAAAATATATGTTGAAACACATTGGTACCTACATGTGTCATAAATACCGGAACTTCGTTATATTCAAATCAATCCCTAATAATTTAGTTTTGTTGAAGCCTGTGATTCTGTAATATGTAAGTACCTACTTAACTGGAATAATGGTTTTTTGTATTTTATAACATTAGGTATAGTTTTAAGTAAACAACTAACGTATTGCCGTGTCAGATAAATTATTTATGCGCCGAACGAGTTCTTCGGATACCGAAGATGTTCGATCTTTACAGCAAAGTAGGTATTACATAATGTTCACACAATCTCTAAACAAATCTTACCTACCTACATATTATGTTATATTTATTCCGTTCAATTTTGGCGCATAGGACGGAATACATTGAGGGTTCCGTCCGTACAATAAACGGCCGTATCATTTTTACGTGATTATTGTGATTTTCTCACAGTTTCGAGGGACCGTATACTTGAGTACCTATGTATATATTTTAAATTTCTACTCGATAACTCCACGCGTGCCGGAGATAAAGGGTCTTGATAGTCAGACTTACAGACGGGCAACAAATTGATCTTATAAAGGGTTCCGTTTTTTCCTTTTGCGGTACGGAACCCTAAAATAGAAAATATTTAAAGGATCCTTAAAAAAATTGTTAATGATCACCAAAAATACAATTGCAAACCTGAAGGCTACGGTCCCCGTTTTCGTCACCCTTTACGAAGACGAGGACTCCGTAACCGGTCAACCTTATAGCCTTTAGTTTTACAATTGTTA